TTTTTCTGGAATGATAGCGATGATCAATATTTTCTGTGCATCAACTGAATTCACGGTATTTGTCTATATCATAATTGACAATAAAAAATTCTTGTCGAGGAGTTTATATACACCATGTGGTGATCGTTTTATGTCAGGGAGTTTATATACACATTGTGGTGATCATTTTATGTCGGGGAGTGTATATACACCGTGTGGTGATGGTTTTATGTCGGAGTTTATATACACTGTGTGGTGACCGTTTTATGTCGGGCAGTTTATATACACCGTGTGGTGATGGTTTTATGTCGGGGAGTGTATATACACCGTGTGGTGATGGTTTTATGTCGGGGAGTTTATATACACCGTGTGGTGATGGTTTTATGTCGGGGAGTTTATATACACCGTGTGGTGATGGTTTTATGTCGGGGAGTGTATATACACCGTGTGGTGATGGTTTTATGTCGGAGTTTATATACACCGTGTGGTGATGGTTTTATGTCGGGGAGTTTATATACACCGTGTGGTGATGGTTTTATGTCGGGGAGTTTATATACACCGTGTGGTGATCGTTTTATGTTTAATAGTCGTTACACTGAGCATATTTTCTGGATTTCAATGCATAATAAATATCAATCAGGGTTAAAGTTGATTCGTTTAGGGATATTTTCTTCGATTGACACAAATGCCATCGGAACTTATGATCATATTTGTGGAGGGGCTGTGCAATCGTGATGATAATTTACTGTTATAGCTTTTTTTTCTGAGCGGATGCAGGATTCCGGGTTAGAGGAGCGCAAATCTGAAAAATATTTCTATCCCCCTTGTAGTTCTCAACTCTTCGATTCTACATGTTTTCCCGTACTTTGTTTTGCATGTAGATGTATGCGAAGAAGTGAAGTCCTATGTATGGTAGAGATTGACCAGGAGTTCCAGCAGGGTCCAGTGGCTGAGTTTGTTTGGAGGGGATGAAGATCAAGCCCCATCCTCCCCCACCCTCCGCCATCCCCCCTCCTTCGGAAAGAAATCAGCAGCAGCATATTTGCGTAAAGGCAGTTACGCGCCTGGAAGTCAGTCGTCCGCCTGTGACATCCTTCAAAATCTCCTATAGCTGTTTCTTGCGAAGAGCTCTTGAGATCCATTATCTTCATATAATTTTTCCTCTGCAGACAAATGCAATTTTAAGACCGCAACATCGATAAGATAAAAATCGCTTGATGGATTTGGACTGAAGAAGCTTTTTACCACCATACCTTGGAGTATACGGAGAAAGCCTTGTCACAAACGCGTATCTGTCGGGTTTCCTTTATTGCTATTGTTCAATGTTTTGGGTACAAAAGAACACATATTTATCTCGGATTTCGACAAATTATCTAACAAAATTCCATAGGCTATGTTTCCGATGATGCCTTCTTATCCATGTTTAGTTCTGAGACTGACTGGAAAAGTAACTTGCAGTCGCTATTTCAAGTTCTAAATTGAAAAAAGTACCATGCCGCATATATATTATAATACCACTCCTTTCAGGTCCACTTTTACGTACTTAAAAGAATGAGAACTAAAGAGCATCTTTATGTAGTAAAAGTAGAGAAATTTGTCGACGGGATTTATTTGTGACTATCAACAAGGGATTTACATGTATCAAAGAATCATGTATAGATATTCACAATTACCCTTGACTTTCTTATATCTACAAGTCATTAGATATATATAAATATCCATAAATGAATCATATATATTTATAAACCAGTATCCACTAGGTACTAGTCGTATCAATAACATGTTCGAAAAGTTCCGAAAACACGACAGGTGCTAAAACTGAATTATGAATATATCCAAAGTTCCGAAAACACGACAGGTGCTAAAACTGAATTATGAATATATCCAAGAGAAAATCTTCAGATTTGTTTTTAGGTCATCTCATCCGAAGGGTCATAATGACCTATAGCCATCGTGCTTCGTCCGTTATCGTCCGCCGTGCGTAAACTTTTGACATTTCAAACGTCTTCTAAAGTTCTATCAGAGGGATTGAGCTCGAACTTGCATGAAATGATCCTGATATGGTCCTGACTAAGTGTTGTTATTTTTCGGGTATGTCTGAAATCCAAGATGGCCGCCATCTTGAAAAAACATTTTAAACAGGTGTCGTTGAACTTCTTCTAGCTTGTGAATTTTAAAATTTTACTTCATAATTACAATATTGTTACAAATGCTGTCAAATTGTTATGTAGTACATATTTAAATTAAAATTTGATAGAATTGAGTTGTTTTTACATCAGTGCGTAGTGGTTCAATTTGAAAGACTATCAAGAAATTAGTCTTAAACTGAAAAAGTCTCCTCCATGAAATCATGTCAACATTTAATGCCAAAAGGTTCCATTAGACCCTGTAGAGCTCTAGATCTGTAATGATACTTTTTTATCCTTTCATAATCTTATGATCAGGTGGCCATAATTACAAAAGATTGTACCAAAGAAGAATTCCACAGAAGTAGATGTATCCCCGTTGTGGCCAACAGTAGAATGATTAATACAAGGCAGATACATGTTTTATTAAAGTTATATTGTTTATGTGAAAATTTCATAAAATTTTCACTGGAGATTCTCAAATTTAGGTCATACCATTTGTGAAAGATTTCATTAAGATTCCCAAAGTAAATATGGGCATGACTCCCGAAAAAAATTGTTGGGCCTTCATCAAGTAAGAACTTGACCTGTATCATGTTATTTAAAAAATTATATCAAATAACAGTTCACTATATCAGTTTCTGCAAATGCGTTTTTCAAGATGCCGCCATGTCAGCCATCTTAGATTTCAGACCGATATGAAAAGAAACAACACTTGGTCAGGACCACCTCATGATTATTTCAGACAAGTTGGAGCTCAATTGCATGGGTGAAATTTGAGAAGTTTGAAATAGGTGTTGTACAGGAAAACCATGATTGTGCAATCATGTTGCAAAATGGCCTCCCTGGCTACCTTGTCGAAGTTTTGACGTTTTCTATGAATTTTTTTCTCTCTTAAATCTCTCTCACTTTATTATTTATTTCCTTCTGACTAAGAAGGTCGTATACTGAATACATAAAACTGTGTTTTTTTCTTTACAGCAGTTCAATTGATTCAACAATTTGTGAAGGAATTGTTGACATTTGTTCTTTTTTTTATCTTATCCTGATATCCCCACCCTCAGTCTTTAACTATTTTCCTTGAAACTTGGTATGCCACATTGTGTTCTCATCAACAGCACTTTAATTGAATATTGTATGTCTATAATTTGTTTCCTATTGTTTATCTCATTATCTTTACCTTGTCTAGAGATGTTCACTTTTCAGTAATTATCAAATGTATAGCTTCTAGACTGCTAACACCTATGATATAATGCTGGTTTGTTTGAAATGTTTTACTGTATATACATATGTGCATGTTGTACAGGGGACTTATTTCATAGATTTACTATCTTCTATCTGTCAGATTCTTAAATTATTGTATGCACATATCCACATAAGAGTTTTCACTCTAGAAGTATACTTTGAAATTTAATTGAAGGTGCTAGCTTTGGTGGGGTGTTGGGGCATCCAGTCTGAATAAAGCACATCTGATCATCATGAGTGGAAAGCATGTTGATGTTTCCACACCAGGTAGTTCTATCTTCAGGTTGACCATACATCCTTTGTTTCCGACTGTTCAATAACCTCCAAAGATGCACCGATTATGATGATGAAGACCCACTGATGTTGTTAACCCAATGCTCTGGTACCAGGTGTTGTGACTGAATTCCCTGATGTCTACTAGTGTTATCACCCCCAAATAATTTTCAGAATTCCTTTCTAATCACAAAGTCTACAATGGAGTGATGCTTGCTTTTCCATCCAATACATTTATATAAAGTCTTTTTGAGCGACATTGTTGAATTAATGAATTATTTTATAGAAATAATGAAAACAAACTGTATGCATTTGAAATTGACTTAAGGAAGTACATTTGATGAGGAAAACGCTCAGATTAAACAAACATGAGAAAAAATGTAGGGACCTTAACGGTGACCAAAGTGGATCTCTATTATTGTGACTTCCTGTAATTGATGTTACTCATTCTCTTTGGGGTTAAGGATTTGCGAAGTATAATTCTGATCCCCATCTGTAAAGATCGTGTCAGACAAGTTTGATACAATCATAAATCACATCATTCCGAAGCTTTATCAATTTCTTTATATCTGTCTGTTGCCCAAGTTCAAGGAAGGCGTTACTGACTGATATACAAAGGTTGATAATAGTATTGTACTATACTTCGGTCTGTATCTTATCGCCTATAGATTTTGATTTTGTCGAGGTCATTTCCGCAGTGTGTAGCCAATATTTAACAGTAAACTTACATGAGTACCAAGTGACTAAAACTTCTACCTAACTTCCATTCCCCCCACCCCCTGTGGATGCAGCAATTTGTAGATATGTAATTGAAGAATGAAATTGCCAGTCACTTCCTGTGTAAGATAAGTCTCAGCTTGGATGGTTGAGTGGCACAGTAGTTACACACCCCTCCTCACCTTGACATCTGGGGTTCAATTTTCTTACTAGACATGAAAAGGTATGGGGTCACCTGCCTGGCCATATCAGTTTTCCCAAGGTACTCACGTTTCCTCTCACAATAAGATCCCTTATGCGCTTCCAATCAGGCCAATTGTTTCCCAATTGTTGTAAGGGTCCAGGGTGGAGGGTGGGCCATTTCCACCTGTCTCTCAAATACCATACATAGGATGGATATGTCGGCTAATTTAACTTATGACTTCTGTATTTTCTACATAAATTTCCATGTTTTGAAGTATTTCAACTAGTTCCTGATAATGGAAGTCAAATATTTTAATATTTATTAATTGTGGTAGCACAGTGTATGACAGTCTACAACAGAAATACACGGCAGTTGATATGACTGATTAAAGAGGAGACAACAAAGTAATGATAATTATTTTTGTGTGAAATTGATCAGCAAATAAATGAACTGTTAGACTAAAGGAACGCCGAAAATGAGTTACATATGCATTTATTTCAAAATTTCAGCTTTCATACAATTAAAATCTGCTAATTTACTGTAACATCAAGACCATGTTTCTGCTTGGTATCGTTTCTTCTGGTCGAGTTGGAGAAGGTATTTATCTGCCTCCTCCACTGTTCTGTTTCCATATTTCTGTATAGCATCCTTCAAGGCATCTCTCACGTCATCTGGCATACGTTTTGCATTTCTACAAACAAAACAGGATGTCAACAAGCTTTTTTTCATTCTCACTTTTTTTGCTTTTATGTTTCGAGTATCACACAACCCAACTTCATTTACCTTTAAAATCACACGCTTCAAAAGAAATATTAAAATATTATACATTGAATTGAAGTTCATATCTAAAATTTTATTAAGTAGAGAAAATTATTATTGTCTAGAGTGTTTTGTGTTGCTCTTAATTTTCTCTCAAAACTTTTTGTAGCAAAATGAAATTCTGAACAAAATGCTCTTGGAAATTGCATTTCAAAACAATCTTTATAAAAGTTTGGAATATCACGACAAAGATACTGAGGATGTACCCTGCTATGTAGAAGTAAGCATTGTGTTTGTCTAGAAGGTTCCACAGGGTCTCGCCATTCTCCTGGATACGGTGCTGGACATACACCTTGTCCTCCTGAAACAGAAAATATAAATTAAATCAAGCAAAGAGTACAACTTCCTTCACAAGTTATTTAAAATGTTAGACACTCTAACATCATTGTGGAGACAAACATAGTTGCAAGCCGTCACAATGTTCTGGTAAAACGATAGATTCCCAATGTCTCTTTGTTTTAAAATTATTGCTGATCTTTTAATGACTGATTTTGTACCAAAGGCAGCCATATGGTTTTCCCTGCATTCTAATAAAACCTATCTACTCCTCAGGTTTATATTTATACCACATGCCAACTTTAATTGAAATGATAATGCTGGTGACAATATAAATATGGTGTTTCAATAGTGAAATATTGTTAAAAATTCTAACAAGTGCCTGTAGGAAGAAGATATGTAGCAATGATTTATGTCCTTTTTTTAAAGATAAGGTATCGGATAGAACTTGGGAATATAGTCAGGAATGATGTGGTGAAATGGTCTTATAGAGTGGACCTGTATCACTGACTTATGTGACCACGTTACTGGCCTGTAGTTTTACTGACCTGATCTCTTGAGAAGGCAGTGTACAGGGTAAGGAGACCTCTTTCCATCAATAATGTCCATTCAGTCTCACAGAAGAAGTCCTTCTTTTTATTACGACAGCCAAAGTACAAGGTATTACCTGCAATAACACAGTCAAGATAGTTTACCTAGGTGAGTTACTAAGCCCTCTGTCCACAAGCTACATCCTCACTTATCTAACGGTTAAAATACTATCATTATCATAGTATCGGTTATCACCAGCATACAAAGTGCACATGTTAAAAACACCCCCCAGAAATTATGAAATTAAACAAAGCTTTATGTTTTTAAGTGCCTGCTTCCATATAGAAAAGATGTGCAAGTATGCTTACTAAACAGATCTTTCTAAATATTGGGAAAAAACATGACTTATTTAGCATAGATCCAAAGTATGTAAGTTGTGCTGGTGCTGTCCTACCTCCAATTTGCTTACTACTTCTTTCTTGGATGAAACTTCTGAAAGGGGCACATCCTGTCCCTGAAATCAACAATAATCAATGTTTTTCCTTTTTAATACAATTTTACATTTAACATCTTGTTTCTGATTCTTATCCTATGAGAGTTTGGACAAATTCCTACTTCAGTTTATACCATATGTCCGTTAGTAAAATTTCCTTATTATCAAAAAATTTAATTTGTGGATGGAATCTGTGGATTTTGTCTGGATTGAAAGAGACTTTTGCATAATGCATAAGTATACTAAGGCACATTATAATTTGTTCTATTCAGGAATGATATCAAAATCCCACTGTAGACTACAGGGTAGTAAAGTCTTCCTGTATCTTTCTGAATTATATACAAGGTAGCCATAGAAGGGTTAAGGCCATGTTTAACACACTGCACTAGTGGCAAAATAACATTAACAAGATTATTCAGTGAATTACAGTCCCCTACCAACACACCACCCTGACACGTAAAACCCTACCACCACCCCGACACGTAAAACCCTACCACCACCCCGACACGTAAAACCCTACCACCACCTCGACACGTAAAACCCTACCACCACCCCGACACGTAAAACCCTACCACCACCCCGACACGTAAAACCCTACCACCACCTCGACACGTAAAACCCTACCACCACCTCGACACGTAAAACCCTACCACCACCTCGACACGTAAAACCCTACCACCACCTCGACACGTAAAACCCTACCACCACCCCGACACGTAAAACCCTACCACCACCTCGACACGTAAAACCCTACCACCACCTCGACACGTAAAACCCTACCACCACCTCGACACGTAAAACCCTACCACCACCTCGACACGTAAAACCCTACCACCATCTCGACATGTAAAACCCTACCATCACCTCGACATGTAAAACCCTACCACCATCTCCACATGTAAAACCCTACCACCATCTCAACATGTAAAACCCTACCACCACCTTGGCATGTAAAACCCTACCACCACCTCGACACGTAAAACCCTACCACCACCCCGACACGTAAAACCCTACCACCACCTTGACATGTAAAAACCTACCACCACCCCGACATGTAAAACCCTACCACCACCTCGACATGTAAAACCCTACCACCACCTCGACATGTAAAACCCTACCACCACCTCGACACGTAAAACCCTACCACCACCCCGACATGTAAAACCCTACCACCACCCCGACATGTAAAACCCTACCACCACCTCGACATGTAAAACCCTACCACCATCTCGACATGTAAAACCCTACCACCACCTCGACATGTAAAACCCTACCACCATCTCGACATGTAAAACCCTACCACCATCTCGACATGTAAAACCCTACCACCACCTCGACATGTAAAACCCTACCACCACCTCGACATGTAAAACCCTACCACCACCTCGACACGTAAAACCCTACCACCACCTCGACACGTAAAACCCTACCACCACCTCGACACGTAAAACCCTACCACCACCTCGACACGTAAAACCCTACCACCACCTCGACACGTAAAACCCTAACCCCTACCACCACCTCGACATGTAAAACCCTACCACCACCTCGACATGTAAAACCCTACCACGACATGTAAAACCCTCGACATGTAAAACCCTACCACCACCTTGACATGTAAAACCCTACCACCACCCCGACATGTAAAACCCTACCAACACCTCGACATGTGAAACCCTACCACCACCGCGACACGTAAAACCCTACCACCACCACGACACGTAAAACCCTACCACCACCCGACACGTAAAACCCTAAAACCTACCACCCCCCGACATGTAAAACCCTACCACCACCCCGACATGTAAAAACCTACCACCACCTCGACATGTAAAACCCTACCACCACCCCGACATGTAAAACCCTACCACCACCTTGGCATGTAAAACACTACCACCACCCCGACATGTAAAAACCTACCACCATCTCAACATGTAAAACCCTACCACCACCCCGACATGTAAAACCCTACCACCACCCCGACATGTAAAACCCTACCATCACCTCGACATGTGAAACCCTACCACCACCTCGACACGTAAAACCCTACCACCACCTCGACACGTAAAACCCTACCACCACCTCGACATGTAAAACCCTACCACCACCTCTACATGTAAAACCCTACCACCACCTCGACATGTAAAACCCTACCACCACCTCTACATGTAAAACCCTACCACCACCTCGACATGTAAAACCCTACCACCACCTGGACACGTAAAAACCTACCACCACCTCGACATGTAAAACTCTACCACAAGTGTAAGTTCCAGCAACTAGTAGAGTAACAGACAGATATCACATGATCATGGTAGGTGATAGGTCAAGCTGTAGGTCAGAGTGACCTACTTTTGATATTGTATATCATAACACCCCATCTCACCAAGGTGAACCCATACCACATGTATTAAGTCTCTGTGACAGGAAGTGTAGGAGATAGACCCTGGACAAGACAATGGAAAAATGGAACTCAAATTTACAGAAATTCTTACCTGGTCCCACCATAATTACAGGTGTCGCAGGGTCCTTAGGAAACGTGATGGTGCCTGGTTTGACCCACACAGGTACATGAACATCCTTAGTGGGGTCTAAACTGGCTAACCAGGTTGAACAGACACCTTTTCGGGGACGGAAAAGCTTGGTTCGATACTGAACGACAGCCAGTAAAATCTGGATCTCTCCAGGATGTGCCTTTAGAGATGCAATTGATAACATTTTTATATGCTTTTTAACATGAACCCATGATTGTAACAGCTTTCAATAACATTTACCAAGTAACCCAGAATGCCAAATACCAATATAAATGTTTTTTTCATGAAATGCCCTTACCTGCAGGGATGATGCTATAGAAAATGTTCTTGGTTGTAGCTGTGGAATCACATCAAACAGATACTCAAATGGAATGTTTGCACTGGTGTGGGGGAAATCCTGCAGCACCTGTTCAACAACACATCAAGGTTTCAATATAGATATCAAATAGGCAGAGTGTTCTTACAGGCAGTTAGATTTTAGAAAGGTTTCACAAATACTGCACATAACATGTATTTGGGTTTTGGTTGTCCTACCATATAATTATCTAAGGTATGACTGTATTGGTTTGTAGGCTTATATAATTTTCTGTTACCATTGAAGTGTTTTGTTAATTCAGTGTAACTATATGAGTGATTTACCTCCAATATTGTCCTCCTCACACGGTTACAGTAACTATACAGTTCTTCCTGAAACGAGACCAATTCATGTACTGGTACAGGTGTACTGAAGTCCTATTTCAAATAGAATAATTCATATACTGGTACATGTGTACTGAAGTCATATTTCAAATAGAATAATTCATATACTGGTACAAGTGTACTGAAGTCATATTTCAAATAGAATAATTCATATTGGTACAAGTGTACTGAAGTCATATTTCAAATAGAATAATTCATATACTGGTACATGTGTACTGAAGTCATATTTCAAATAGAATAATTCATATACTGGTACATATGTACTGAAGTCATATTTCAAATAGAATAATTCATATACTGGTACATGTGTACTGAAGTCATATTTCAAATAGAATAATTCATATACTGGTACAAGTGTACTGAAGTCATATTTCAAATAGAATAATTCATATACTGGTACAAGTGTACTGAAGTCATATTTCAAATAGAATAATTCATATACTGGTACATGTGTACTGAAGTCATATTTCAAATAGAATAATTCATATACTGGTACATATGTACTGAAGTCATATTTCAAATAGAATAATTCATATACTGGTACATATGTACTGAAGTCATATTTCAAATAGAATAATTCATATACTGGTACATGTGTACTGAAGTCATATTTCAAATAGAATAATTCATATACTGGTACATGTGTACTGAAGTCATATTTCAAATAGAATAATTCATATACTGGTACATATGTACTGAAGTCATATTTCAAATAGAATAATTCATATACTGGTACATGTGTACTGAAGTCCTATTTCAAATAGAATAATTCATATACTGGTACATGTGTACTGAAGTCATATTTCAAATAGAATAATTCATATACTGGTACATGTGTACTGAAGTCATATTTCAAATAGAATAATTCATATACTGGTACATATGTACTGAAGTCATATTTCAAATAGAATAATTCATATACTGGTACATGTGTACTGAAGTCATATTTCAAATAGAATAATTCATATACTGGTACATGTGTACTGAAGTCATATTTCAAGTAGAATAATTCATATACTGGTACATGTGTACTGAAGTCATATTTAAAATAGAATAATTCATATACTGGTACATATGTACTGAAGTCATATTTCAAGTAGAATAATTCATATACTGGTACATGTGTACTGAAGTCATATTTCAAATAGAAAAATTCATATACTGGTACATGTGCACTGAAGTCATTTCAAATAGAAAAATTTATATACTGGTACATATGTACCGAAGTCATATTTCAAATAGAAAAATTCATACACTGGTACATATGTACCGAAGTCATATTTCAAATAGAAAAATTCATATACTGGTACATGTGTACTGAAGTCATATTTCAAGTAGAATAATTCATATACTGGTACATGTGTACTGAAGTCATATTTCAAATAGAATAATTCATATACTGGTACATGTGTACTGAAGTCATATTTCAAATAGAATAATTCATATACTGGTACATATGTACTGAAGTCATATTTCAAATAGAATAATTCATATACTGGTACATATGTACTGAAGTCATATTTCAAATAGAATCATTCATATACTGGTACATGTGTACTGAAGTCCTATTTCAAATAGAATAATTCATATACTGGTACATATGTACTGAAGTCCTATTTCAAATAGAATAATTCATATACTGGTACATGTGTACTGAAGTCATATTTCAAATAGAATAATTCATATACTGGTACATATGTACTGAAGTCATATTTCAAATAGAATAATTCATATACTGGTACATATGTACTGAAGTCATATTTCAAATAGAATAATTCATATACTGGTACATATGTACTGAAGTCATATTTCAAATAGAATAATTCATATACTGGTACATGTGTACTGAAGTCATATTTCAAATAGAATAATTCATATACTGGTACATGTGTACTGAAGTCATATTTCAAATAGAATAATTCATATACTGGTACATATGTACTGAAGTCATATTTCAAATAGAATAATTCATATACTGGTACATGTGTACTGAAGTCATATTTCAAATAGAATAATTCATATACTGGTACATGTGTACTGAAGTCATATTTCAAATAGAATAATTCATATACTGGTACATGTGTACTGAAGTCATATTTCAAATAGAATAATTCATATACTGGTACATATGTACTGAAGTCATATTTCAAATAGAATAATTCATATACTGGTACATATGTACTGAAGTCATATTTCAAATAGAAAAATTCATATACTGGTACATGTGTACTGAAGTCATATTTCAAGTAGAAAAATTCATATACTGGTACATGTGTACTGAAGTCCTATTTCAAATAGAATAATTCATGTACTGGTACATGTGTACTGAAGTCATATTTCAAATAGAATAATTCATATACTGGTACATATGTACTGAAGTCATATTTCAAATAGAATAATTCATATACTGGTACATGTGTACTGAAGTCATATTTCAAATAGAATAATTCATATACTGGTACATGTGTACTGAAGTCATATTTCAAATAGAATAATTCATATACTGGTACATGTGTACTGAAGTCATATTTCAAATAGAATAATTCATATACTGGTACATATGTACTGAAGTCATATTTCAAATAGAATAATTCATATACTGGTACATATGTACTGAAGTCATATTTCAAATAGAATAATTCATATACTGGTACATGTGTACTGAAGTCATATTTCAAATAGAATAATTCATATACTGGTACATGTGTACTGAAGTCATATTTATTTCAAATAGAATAATTCATATACTGGTACATATGTACTGAAGTCATATTTCAAGTAGAATAATTCATATACTGGTACATGTGTACTGAAGTCATATTTCAAGTAGAATAATTCATATACTGGTACATGTGTACTGAAGTCCTATTTCAAATAGAATAATTCATGTACTGGTACATGTGTACCGAAGTCATATTTCAAGTAGAATAATTCATGTACTGGTACATGTGTACCGAAGTCATATTTCAAGTAGAATAATTCATATACTGGTACATGTGTACTGAAGTCATATTTCAAATAGAAAAATTCATATACTGGTACATGTGCACTGAAGTCATTTCAAATAGAAAAATTTATATACTGGTACATGTGTACTGAACATATTTCAAGTAGTAATTCATATTTACATGTGTACTGAATATATTTCAAAATGAATTGGTATCCTAACTACCACATTTTGTACTTGGTAAGTACTGAAGTCATATTTCAAATATAACTACCATACCATATGAATAGAATATCATAACTACCACATCCTATTTTGTACTTGGTAACACTATTTAAACCATATTCATGTGTATGAATTTGGTATCCTAACTACCACACTTGTACTTGGTCATATTTACCATAGAATAATTTGGTATCCTAACTACCACACTTGTACTTGGTAATACTATACCTACCACACCTTGATTTGGTATCCTAACTACCACACTTGTACTTGGTAATACTATACCTACCACACCTTGATTTGGTATCCTAACTACCACATTTGTACTTGGTAACACTATAACTACCATACCATGATTTGGTATCCTAACTACCACATTTGTACTTGGTAACACTATAACTACCATACCATGATTTGGTATCCTAACTACCACACTTGTACTTGGTAATACTATAACTACCATACCATGATTTGGTATCCTAACTACCACACTTGTACTTGGTAACACTATAACTACCATACGTGGATTTGGTATCCTAACTACCACACTTGTACTTGGTAATACTATAACTACCATACCATGATTTAGTATCCTAACTACCACATTTGTACTTGGTAACACTATAACTACCATACCATGATTTGGTATCCTAACTACCACATTTGTACTTGGTAACACTATAACTACCATACCATGATTTGGTATCCTAACTACCACACTTGTACTTGGTAACACTATAACTACCATACGTTGATTTGGTATCCTAACTACCACACTTGTACTTGGTAATACTATAACTACCATACCATGATTTGGTATCCTAACTACCACACTTGTACTTGGTAACACTATAACTACCATACCATGATTTGGTATCCTAACTACCACATTTGTACTTGGTAACACTATAACTACCATACCATGATTTGGTATCCTAACTACCACATTTGTACTTGGTAACACTATAACTACCATACCATGATTTGGTATCCTAACTACCACATTTGTACTTGGTAACACTATAACTACCATACCATGATTTGGTATCCTAACTACCACACTTGTACTTGGTAATACTATAACTACCATACCATGATTTGGTATCCTAACTACCACACTTGTACTTGGTAACACTATACCTACCACACCTTGATTTGGTATCCTAACTACCACACTTGTACTTGGTAACACTATACCTACCACACCTTGATTTGGTATCCTAACTACCACACTTGTACTTGGTAACACTATAACTACCATACGTTGATTTGGTATCCTAACTACCACACTTGTACTTGGTAATACTATAACTACCATACCATGATTTGGTATCCTAACTACCACACTTTTACTTGGTAAGACTATAACTACCATACCATGATTTGGTATCCTAACTACCACACTTGTACTTGGTAATACTATAACTACCACACCATGATTTGATATCCTAACTACCACACTTGTACTTGGTAATACTTTAACTAACAAACCATGATTTGGTATCCTAACTACCACACTTGTACTTGGTAATACTATAACTACCACACCATGATTTGGTATCCTAACTACCACACTTGTACTTGGTAATACTATAACTACCATACCATGATTTGGTATCCTAACTACCACACTTGTACTTGGTAATACTATAACTACCATACCATGATTTGGTATCCTAACTACCACACTTGTACTTGGTAATACTATAACTACCATACCATGATTTGGTATCCTAACTACCACACTTGTACTTGGTAATACTATAACTACCATACCATGATTTGGTATCCTAACTACCACACTTGTACTTGGTAATACTATAACTACCACACCATGATTTGGTATCCTAACTACCACACTTGTACTTGGTAATACTATACCTACCACACCTTGATTTGGTATCCTAACTACTACACTTGTACTTGGTAATACTATACCTACCACACCTTGATTTGGTATCCTAACTACCACACTTGTACTTGGTAATACTATAACTACCACACCATGATTTGGTATCCTAACTACCACACTTGTACTTGGTAATACTATAACTACCACACCATGATTTGGTATCCTAACTACCACACTTGTACTTGGTAACACTATAACTACCATACGTTGATTTGGTATCCTAACTACCACACTTGTACTTGGTAATACTATAACTACCACACCATGATTTGGTATCCTAACTACCACACTTGTACTTGGTAATACTATAACTACCACACCATATTTTGGTATCCTAACTACCACACGTGTACTTGGTAACATCATCATTACCCTTTCTACTTTGTATTACTACAGTTACCTGTCCTTCAGCTGTGCAGAATTCCTCAAGTTTTTCCTTTTCTAATTCATTATCAGCAAAATAGACCAGCAGTTCAAAGAATGAACGTCGAGGTACTGAGTTGATATCCAAGTAATGACGAAGTAGATATTCCACTGTACACACATCAGGCAGGGTGTGGGGCAGAGCAATATCTAAAATATCACACACATTATTGTTTCTCACAAGAACTGGACACTCTATTTATGCTATTTACATCAAGATCACTTCATTATTTGCTTTCTTAAGAAAATATTTACTTTCATATAATGGAGGGCTAGGAGAATGGTTCTACCTACTGTACAACAACTCTGCTCATATTCCTTAGCTTTGGTCAACATATGACAGAGTATGGCGTTTTGTTATCTTGATAAGTTTTCCTAGCCTTTCTAAATCAAATACAATAAAATTGATTTTGCACATCAAATATGGAGGAATGATTTAACTTTTAGAGCTCCACCTCATTATCTCCATTTTACAAAATCACAGAATATATACTTTCATGTAGTTTAGAGATTTTACACTTGTTTAGCAGATGTTTAATTTCTTGAATCACAGCTTGAATCCAAAAATATTTTCAAGCTCTGGAACTTTAAAATAAGGATTGAAAATATCTAGTTCGATAATTTCTGAGTCCATTGTGATTTTTATCCCAAATTTCACTGCAAATGCAGCACAAATTCAGATGTGCGGACATCACTGTTTGAAGGTGTAGTTCTTACTTGGATCATTTTGCTGAATAGTGAATGAAGTATCAGGTGAAAGTCTCATGTGTTGTATAAACTCATCTACACTTTCCTGAGAATTCTGTGGTGCCAGTAAGGCCACATATCCGGGAGAGAAACTGAAAAATAAATCAGAAATCAGAAAAACTTTATTCAGAAAAAAAATGGAAGTAGCATCAGCCAAACACTATGTCTGTAAATACTTCCATCAGCCAAATACTATATCTGTAAATCTGCTTACCTCACTATCCTGTTAGCACTAATCTGATTACCTCATTATCTTGTCATCACTTATCTGGTTATCCCAGTACCCAGTCACCACAGGTCTGATGCCCTGTTATCCAGTCACATCAGGTCTGATGCACTGTTATCAAGTCACATCAGGTCTGATGCCCTGTTATCCAGTCACATCAGGTCTCATGCCCTGTTATCCAGTCACATCAAGGACTGATGCCTTGTTATCAAGTAACCACAGGTCTAACGCCCTACTTTACAGTCATCACAGGTCTACTGCCCTGCTATCCAGCCACCACAGGTCTGATGCCCTGTTATAAAGTCACCACAGGTCTGATGCCCTGTTATCCAGTCACATCAGGTCTGATGCCCTGCTATCCAATCACCACAGGTCTGATGCCCTGCTATACAGTCACCACAGGTCTGATGCCCTGCTATCCAGTCACCACAGGTCTGATGCCCTGTTATACAATCACATCAGGTCTGATGCCCTGTTATCCAGTCACCACAGGTCTGATGCCCTGTTATCCAGTCACCCCCAGGTCTGATGCCCTGCTGGCCAGCCACCACAGGTCTGATGCCCAGTTATCCAGCCACCACAGGTCTGATGCCCTGCTGTTCAGCCACCACAGGTCTGATGCCCTGCTATCCAGTCACCACAGGTCTCATGCCCTGCTATCCAGTCACCACACGTCTGATGGCCTGTTATCCAGTCACATTAAGGAAGGTGGTCCTACACTATATGAATTTTACTGTGTTTGTAATGTTTTAGAAGTCTGCCAAAATTACTTAATATACATTTGTAAAGTCCCTTTTGCTAACCTTATCCTTACCTTTTGGCCAGCATCATCACACCTTCTCTTTTTTTATTTATTGTGGGAGTTGAACATTCTCACACAGGCCATTTTAAGGGGTGTGTGGGAAATATGAAATAATTGTCTCAAGCTAGTTAAGTTGATGATTATACATTGCAAATATTATATATCCTTACCAGATATTTGAACCCTGAATATCCAGTCTCACCAAGCGAACATCTTGGAAATGGTCCTCACTTGTAACTCTGTCATTTGAAATCAAACGTGCATAAAATGGATTTGATTGGCTGTAGTCACTGTTTCCATGGCTACCAAGTCTAAACCCAGACAGATCTTTAACTTTGCTGGAGTCATCAGAATATATCACCTTGTACCTTGGAGGTGGTCTGTTTGGAACAACATGAATTAAGAATATATCATTTTTATATCCATGAAAAATTTAGTGAAGGTAACAGTTCTAATGCTGTCAATTCTACAAAGCTCAAATGAAACTGAAGGGACAAAAAATACTTGGTCAGTGTTACACAAGTTTCTCACAATCATAATAATTAATATGACCATGTAAGTAGAAATAAAATTGATTAGCATCACAACATCATTACTATATAGACAGAAGACTTCATGAATTGACTTTTGCTTCACTGGTAACAACAAAGTAGTATTCACATGACATACAAAAGGTAAAACAAATGGGGTATCAGCAGATACAAACTAACACAAATGATAGATAGATACACCTTGTACTGTTGTAGTAGTGATTACACCTAGTACTGTAGTAGATAGTGATTACATCTAGTACTGTAGTAGATAGTGATTACACCCAGCACTGTAGTAGAGAGTGATTACATCTAGAACTGTAGTAGATAGTGATAACACCCAGTACTGTAGTAGATAGTGAATACACCCTGTACTGTTGTAGATAGTGATTTTATCTAGTACTGTAGTAGATAGTGATTACACCCAGCACTGTAGTAGAGAGTGATTACATCTAGAACTGTAGTAGATAGTGATAACACCCAGTACTTTAGTAGAAAGTGAATACACCCTGTACTGTTGTAGATAGTGATTTTATCCAGTACTGTAGTAGATAGTGAATACACCCTGTACTGTTGTAGATAGTGATTTTATCTAGTACTGTAGTAGATAGTGATTACACTCTGTACTGTATTAGATAGTGATTACACCCTGTACTGTTGTAGATAGTGATTTTATCTAGTACTGTAGTAGATAGTGATTTTATCTAGTACTGTAGTAGATAGTGATTTTATCTAGTGCTGTAGTAGATAGTGATTACACCCTGTACTGTTGTAGATAGTGATTACACCTAGTACTGTAGTAGATAGTGATTACACCCTGTACTGTTGTAGATAGTGATTACACCCAGTACTGTAGTAGATAGTGATTACACCCTGTACTGTTGTAGATAGTGATTACACCCAGTACTGTAGTAGATAGTGATTACACTCAGTACTGTAGTAGATAGTGATTACACCCAGTACTGTAGTAGATAATGATTACACCTAGTACTGTAGTAGATAGTGATTACACCCAGTACTGTAGTAGATAGTGATTACACCTAGTACTGTAGTAGATAGTGATTACACCTAGTACTGTAGTAGATAGTGATTACACCCTGTACTGTTGTAGATAGTGATTACACCAATACTGTAGTAGATAGTGATTACACCTAGTACTGTAGTAGATAGTGATTACACCCAGTACTGTAGTAAAAAGTGATTACACCCAGTACTGTAGTAGATAGTGATTACACCCAGTACTGTAGTAAATAGTGATTACACCCAGTACTGTAGTAGATAGTGATTACACCCAGTACTGTAGTAAATAGTGATTACACCCAGTACTGTAGTAGATAGTGATTACACCCAGTACTGTAGTAAATAGTGATTACACCCAGTACTGTAGTAGATAGTGATTACACCCAGTACTGTAGTAGATAGTGATTACACCCAGTACTGTAGTAGATAGTGATTACACCTTGTACTGTAGTAGACACCCATACACCCAGTACTGTAGTAGATAATGATTACACCTAGTACTGTAGTAGATAGTGATTACACCCAGTACTGTAGCAGATAGTGATTACACCCAGTACTGTAGTAAATAGTGATTACACCCTGTACTGAAACACAGTACAGCAGTACTAAGGAATAGTACTCAGTAATTATCAGGAAGAAAGTGTGTTGCAGTTTTCATTGAAAACTAAAAAAATCTTATATTGGAAAAAAAATACTTTCATCATCGACATATATACCAGTATTTGATAGCCATCAATAGTATAATACATATGATAACACAAGTGTATTCTCACATGAGCAGGCCAAATCCTCACAACTTTCATCCACTAACACCCAAAAAGGTTTAGAAGGAGATGGAAGTTGGAGTTCTTCGCATGATCAACTATGGTGTTTTTTTCTTGATTTCATACACGTAGCTTGTTTCCCTACAGAATTACATATGGAGTGAATCTGTTACGGTCTGATTTGATGACCACTTTCAGATAGAAGAAGTCATATACGGTATATGTGATCATATTTTTCCTAATTTTTTAACATCAAAATAGCTAGTTCAGTCAGAACACCTGTGTGTTGTCTTACCTTATATGGGCTGGAATTATCTCCAGTCCTGGGGGGAAAGGATGTAAACTGAGAATACGACTCCACAGAGATGCCAACCAAGGGTAGATAACTGCATCTGGCCTGTAAATCAACACAGGCATCAATCGCAAATAAGTTTCCATTATATAAAGCATGTTATTGTGAATAGAATCAGACCCCGTGTTAGATAACAGAGACAAAACCGTGAATAAACGATCACTTTGTTAAACTTCAGAGCTAGATCAATATTTTTATTTGCCTTTCTCTCTATATTTTTATCTGAATACAAGGTATAACATCTTGTCGTTTTAACCTTACCCAAGGTCATGTTGATCATCGGCGAGACCAACAGGCACCAGGCTCTGTCCACCAAGTTGCTGGATTCGTTTGAACAGTTTCTTGCCTATTACATTGAATCTGTGAAAATCAAGAAATTATACAATTTTAATGCAAAATTCCATGTTATAATGGCTACCTGGTATTTCCTTTGAAGAGAGTCTATGAATCACAATGTTTACTGGTTTTGAAGAAATGGTTTAAAGCTTTCTTTCCATTCTTACTTTTGATAAGATGAATCCCCCAGTCCTAATACAGCATACTTGAGATGGACTAAAGAATTGGCAGGAAGATTCTTTCTCAGGATAAATCTCCAAAACAACTAAAACAAACATAAAATGAATCAGTTAAAATCAGTGACAAATTGATAAATTAATGAGATGGCAAGTGAAACTCCTTTTAGTATTACTGTTTACTTATTAACTGTACTGTTCGAAGGACAACATGTTAAAATTCTGTGTTAGATCTTCCAACAGTTACTCTCAACATCATTCATCACTATCACACTATCAACATAATGTCCACAAACACTTGCCTTCATATTATCTGGAGGGTCCCCTTGTCCTGTTGTGGAACACACAAATATCACTAATCCCTCCTGCAGCAGGCTTGCCTGTATGGAAATGAAGCCAAGTGTGATCTCTTCATTCCAATTTCAAACTTCTTCATTGAAACATGTATACATAATGTGCATATGTTGAATACTTAAACATATTATGTGGTATCAGATTGAAATACCAGGCAAAAAATGACACAAGTATGATTGAAAAGCGTGAAAAAAAAAGATTTTTTCCACAATTCTTTACTACAATAACTTACCACTGTGTATGAATCAAGGGACATCACTCTTGTTGAAAAATGTCTCCGCTTGGCCTCCCTGCATATTTTTTCAGCAACATCTTGCGATGTCCCTGTCTGACTTCCATATAAAATCAGCAGTTTTCTGTCCTCCATCCTAATAAAATGACATGTATTGAGCTTAAATGTATACAAAATTCAAACAAATTTATCAGGACTAATGCAATTGACGGTAAAAAATAATCAGAAATTTTCATGGCTCCATTTAAAGTATATTGTTACATGATATTAAAGTACAATTATTCTAAATATGCCAAACCTCAAATCAAGACATAGTCTGGGATTCGCAGAAGTTGATGGAGCTTGACTGTTTTTATCTTTTAAGCAATAGTATCCTACTGTTCAGATCTCTCATTTAATACTAATAACAACAAACAAAAAAACAATATCACACCCTTGTCTACTTATCATAGGCTATAGTAATTTGTTCATGGACAGATTCGGGACTCAATTTTTGTTGTTATATAGAATTCCAAGAGATAGTGTTTATTTTGATTATCACCCTTGTTTGATATAATACCATGGTCATACAAAAGTATTTAGAGGTTGGTGTATGTAAGTGTGATGCAGTCTTTTTTTTTAAATAACTTTTTAAAGCTTCCAATGACACCAGAATCTTAAGCTGAAGAAATACCTTGCTTGTTTATTGTTTAAAAAATGGCATGTGTGATAACTATACTTTAATTTAAGGACAATTTTAATGAATCTACACAAATGAAATGCTAAAAATAATAGATTAAGAAAATATTCATCAAATATGTTAATTTGAAGTGTAAAACACATTCAAGTTGTGACTCAACTTGGGTAAATGAATTTGAAAAAAAGCAAGAAAAACATAAATAAAATAGATGATGTCAAATGAATTCCATAAGTTGGAATGAAAACTTTGACACTGAAAACACTGTTGGATATTTAAAAAAGGGAGGGAAGGGGAGGGGACAGCAACAGGAATTAAAACCCTGGTGTACAAATTGAGCCGAAGATGTACAAGCTACACAAAGTTCCCCTCCTTTTACACATTCAAGGGCTAATCTGCTCATGCGATCAAACATGCTCAGCTTGACAATTCGTGGTTCTTTGAGATGTTAAAGTGTTAAAACTGATGTGCAGGTGAGATGGAATGATAATACATGCATATGACGAGATACTTTGACAGGTGCCCTTGCCACCCCCTCCTTCCCTTCCTTATTAATCAACAGCGGCCGACCAATGGTCATAGAAATCAGGGTCGTTGAATAAAATTAAAGCATTGGGTCTGAGTCAATGGTCAACAGAAAGCTACATGTTCAGAGCTTGGTCAAAGGATCACATGCTGCTGTTTACCTTTCTATTTCATCAGAACGGTACTACTGTCCTTTCTTGTACCGGAAGACACCAGCGGCGCGTTCGAATAAGTTACCGTTGTATCCACGGATTTAGGATACTCGTAAGCGTAATCCCTAGAGTATCGAGGATGCGGACTTAGATGTAGATCTTCATCTAAGCCCATGGACTTATATTGAATAAAGAAGAATTTATTGTCAGGATGTGACGATTATTCAGTGCAATATTGCGTTATGTGTTTCAGAAAAGGGAAGATGGAATATAATCTTCCAATATAGGATATAACATGTCAGAAAATGTCAGTAAAACACAGATACACACAGAATAGGTTTTGGAAAATTATGAAATATGCTCTTATTTGGGAAATTATATTACTGAGGAAGTGACAGATGAGGGAATCAAAAGTAGGAGACTGTGGTCAAATATCCGTAGTTTAAACAACGAATAAACCAATTCAGGAAAGGGAAGCTGCTACTAAATACAATATAATGAATTTCAAAATCAGAGATAAACTAATGGAAGCACGAAAATGTTAAAGTATCGACTCAGCAGGGACTTCATTATATTTGATAATAGTGTAGAATAGAATCTCTTAGCCCAGTAGGGACTTCATTATATTTGATAATAGTGTAGAATAGAATCTCTTAGTGGTTAAAGGCTCAGAATTGTACTCCCCAAAAATCACGTCTGAACTTCTAGATAACTCTATAAATACGATATGTTAGTCAGTATGAAGAAATTATTTACAACAAAAGGTTGTAGATCACGAAAGTCTACAGTCAGCACATAGTAAAATATCTCCATCTGGCTTTTGTAACAGTATTGTGACAAAAAGCATCGTCACCTTTAATCGGATCTTTACACAGTAAAGTAACATAAGACATTTTCTGAGTTGAACATAGCTCGCCCTTTCCTAATATTTCAGCTTATAAAGACATCAATTTATCTACAAAAAATATCCGAAAAAGGCCATATAGAATTCTTTCGTAAGACCATCTGAACCTGGAGATTTATTTTTTTCATAGCTTTTTAAAGCCGATACAATTTCAGTCTTTGTAATTAGTTCCCCACACATAAAATTATCAAACTGTGTTAATTTGGGAAGATCTTCACAAAAAGAATCAGCTAAGTTAAACTAAATTTCTTCTTCAGCGAAAAGCTTTGAATAGAAATCCCTAATGGCAGCTAAAATAGCATTGGAATCCGAAACAGAAGAATCATTCATGTCGATTTTCCTTGCAATTTTCTTCATCTTCATCATTTTCCAATTAAAAAAGATAATGTGAAGGCTCCTCTGGAAAATCTTAAAAAGAAAAAAAAAACTTTCGGCCTTATATAACGTCTGGTCTTGGCCCCCTGAGAAATGAGGGGCGAGTCATACAGGTACAGATCAAATTGATTAAAATTTCTTTTCTTCTGTAGGAATGTCAGAATTTTGTCTTTATTTGGTCTGAAACATCTTTGGGCGAATGGGAATCTATTTTTGTATAAAGGATGTATGTCGGCCCCTGAAGCATGAGGGGCAGGGCCCAATAGGGGAACTAGAACGATTCTTTTAATCCCTCTTCTCTTGTAGGAATCAGATCTGATTCTGCCCAAATTTGGTCTGACGCATCATTGGATGAAGGGAAATCATTTTTGTATAAACGGTTGGTCTTGGCACCCTTGGACATAACGGGTGGGACCCATTAAGAAACATCGATCAAATTCTTCTAAATAGGTCGAGGCTGTCGTCAAATGGGTCGGTATCGCCATATCGCCCTATCTATTCTTATTAGTTGTAGAAATATAGGCTGTTATGGACAACAGCAATAATTTTTTTATTTTCAGTTGCATAATAAATATATGTAATAAATATGATAATCAAAATATGGGTTTTCTTTCAGAACCACATGCACAAAAAATTTAGGAGGCTTTTGTAAAAAAATGTTAAGCTTATTGAAATATACTGTTAAACGGTGTCTTTTATAGTCTGACTACGGGTCTTTGGATCGGGATCGGTCGACTCAACATTGTTTATCTATTTATTTAACCGGTTTTACGTCCACTTTTAACACCTTTTGGTCTTTAGTGGACGAGTGGGCTTTACACACTTGTTCTGGATGTAAGCGAGCATACCGATCCGGTTTCAGGGTTGGCGTACAAGGTTTTCACTCCAAACGTATTCGGTTTACTCATCTCGCAATAACACACCGCGTAATTTGTATACGCGACCTGACGATTGCGACAAGACTCAGGTTAATGCGCTGTTAAAAGATGGGAGAACGGGTTTATGTTGATTTTGTTGGTTGATATAAAAGGCTCTATCTCGTTATACGTGGATCATGGATCTCCGTGGAAACCCAAGATTAATGGGACCGATGCGAGTAAGTGTTAAGGCTGAAGTTAGACGCTATTATCAGAACATGTCTTCATATTTTCCAACGTCGGGCCGAAATCACCACTCCAGGCCCACATGTTACTGTAGACTCTCTCAGTCTCTTTCCGTACCCAATTCAGAGCTAGTTACTTGAACTTCCGAGTGCCAGTTGTAATAAGACTATTTTTCTGTCGATACATGGTTAGAACAACTTGCTTTAATGCTGATAAATCTTTGAATGTAATCATTATTCAGTTCTTCGAATCGTTGATTTAGAATAAAGCTGAATATATTTATATTATACTTCCAGTTTCCATGTGGAATGGGAAACAACATTTCTCCCCGGATGCCACAACAACAGGGCATGTTTCCAAATGGGAGTCCATTTCTACAGAATCAATCACCAAACCATCCAGTATTGGCACAGATGTCGCCCAGTCTTCGACTTCCAATGGGATGTCAACCCCCGGGACCAACTCCCCCTACTATGAGGTTATTCAATCATCTAGGCAACGTCCCAATCTCTGTTCCTGGTCAGATGCAGCCACTGTGGGGGTCAGGGGCCTTATCAGGAATGCAACGTCCCAATCCAATGGCTGCTCGAGGACAAATGATTTCAGGAAATATGAATCTTGGAAATGTTCCATCTCTAAACTTGATGGGTGCAACACAAAATGCACCTTCCCAACAGGACCAGCTGGCATTTAGTCCAACAGCTATTAATTTACAGGTGGGATCCTTAATCACTTTTCAGTTTAAAATTCAACCCCTGGTTGTACATCATTGGTACACAGATGAAATATTGTTTGTTTGGGAACAGCCAGTGCCATTTTGAGGTGGGGTCTCCTGGTGGCTTATACATTGAACAACATATGAGAGACCCACTTGTGTAAAATGCAGAGCAATTTGAGTAAAGTGTTACCTAAGGACACATTCACAATAGAACTAGAAAACTTTCCAGAGAATCACAAACCATGCCAAGTATAGATAGATCATACCACACCCCAAATCTTCAGCTAAGGTTGCAAAGTTTTATCAGGATTTACATTTGGTATATCATAAATGGAGCTCTTTTCAAATTCAAAGGAATCCTTTGTATATTTTGAATGGCATTCCAGAAAATAACTCAAACCAAGCTCTGCTGATGTTCTAATGAACTATAGGAGCCCAAACATCATGCATTGTAATTATGATGAAATGCAATAATTGTTTTTCGTTTAAAATCCTCAAGAATAGTTTTTTTGTTTTCATTGGTTATTGGCAAATCAATTTCTTTAATTTACAGGTGCAACAGCAAGGTAACATGGGCTTTATGAATGGAGGACAGATGAGGTCTCCTGTTTTTCAAAACATGAATCAGACATCTGTGGGCATGCTTGGTAACATGGGTCCCAACCAGAACCAGCTCAACCAAAACTGTCAGAATATGGACAGTAGAGGGCAAGATAGGAGAAACAACCAGTCTTCATTTAGGTCCCAAAGCCATAGGGACAGAGGCAGAGGACAGAGAGATCGCGACAGAGGTCAAGATGATGGTAGAAGTCAGGGATCTACCTCTAGACGTAACAGAGATAGCGAAAGATCACAGCATTCTGATGGCAAGGATCATGATCGATTAAGTGGAAAAGGCATGTCGGGTGACAGAGGAGGAGACAGAGGAGGGGACAGAGGAGGGGACAGGGGAGGGGATAGAGGAGGGGACAGAGGAGGGGACAGAGGAGGAGAAAGACAAGGAGATATACGTCCTCGAGATAGAGATTCTGGAGATTCCAGGTATACATAAATGTCATGTCGTTTTTGTCCTATAGATAAACTGTAGTGTGAATGGCATTGATAGATGAATCATCTTTTACAATAGCTGAAGTTAAAGTTGACATTTTTTCTAGAACTGGAGAGAAAATTTAGAAGCCATTGTCTTGCATTCTTTTCTGGGAATTAAAGTGTCATCACACTGTAGATCAAATGGCACTGTCAGTTTGTCTAATTTTTTGGATTAGTTGTCTGTAATCCAGAATGTCATCTTAGACTTGGACCCTGGAGACACAAGAATATATATGATCAGGCAATATTATTTCATGTACCAGTACAAACTACATATAGTATACAGTGATTGGTGAATGTATGTTATGTACTCATTGCTATCAAGAACCATGATATGAATCAAAACACACAAATTGTCACATAAGTAGTAACGTACTTTGACTACAGTATACTTTCATATTTAATTTATCGGAAAGAAGTAAAGCTCCACTGATTTAATTGCAGGAAATCCAGACGGGAGTCTTGTGGCAGGTCAGATTCCAGAAGGAGGGATAACTCTAGACCTAGACAGAGTCCGAAAGACGATAATTCACGTAAAAATTACTCAAGAGGATATGGTGCCAGAAGAGACGATTCAAGAGGAAATATACGAAGAGGCAGCAACTCTAGATGTAGCAGCAGAAGAAGAGATAATTTCAGTGAAAGTCCTAGAAAGGGAGGACAGCGTGAAAACAGACCACGTCAGAACCGTGACAGTGGAGATGAAACGAGAGGAAACAAGAGACGAAATGATGAGGAATCTTACAGCAGGTATGTGTCTGTGTATTGTTTAATAAGGTATAGATCATATATGTTTTGTTTTTAACCCTTCAGTCACATTTTGTGTGCAGAACTGATCTCAAAGTGCATTATTTATAATGAAAAATAAAATAGATTAATGCATGGTGTAAAATCTTCAGTTATGAGAATGTACAATACATTGTCTTGAAGTTTTGCTTTACTAAAGCTATAAGAATATTCAGGTCAATGCATATGTGTGGAGTGCTACTTCACAAAAATATGGAGAATGTACCTAGTCTGAAGTTTTACTTCACTAAAATTTGGAGAATGAAAAGTACACTGTCTGAAGTGTTACTTCACTAGAGTTATGAGAATGTACAGTACACTGTCTGAAGTGTTACTTCACTAGAGTTATGAGAATATACAGTACACTGTCTGAAGTGTTACTCACTAGAGGTATGAGAATGAAAAGTACACTGTCTGAAGTGTTACTTCACTAGAGTTATGAGAATGTACAGTACACTGTCTGAAGTGTTACTTCACTAGAGTAATGAGAATGTACAGTACACTGTCTGAAGTGTTACTTCACTAGAGTTATGAGAATGTACAGTACACTGTCTGAAGTGTTACTTCACTAGAGTTATGAGAATGAAAAGTACACTGTCTAAAGTGTTACTTCACTAGAGTTATGAGAATGTACAGTACACTGTCTGAAGTGTTACTTCACTAGAGTAATGAGAATGTACAGTACACTGTCTGAAGTGTTACTTCACTAGAGTAATGAGAATGTACAGTACACTGTCTGAAGTGTTACTTCACTAGAGTAATGAGAATGTACAGTACACTGTCTGAAGTGTTACTTAACTAGAGTAATGAGAATGTACAGTACACTGTCTGAAGTGTTACTTCACTAGAGTAATGAGAATGTACAGTACACTGTCTGAAGTGTTACTTCACTAGAGTAATGAGAATGTACAGTACACTGTCTGAAGTGTTACTTCACTAGAGTAATGAGAATGTACAGTACACTGTCTGAAGTGTTACTTCACTAGAGTATTGAGAATGTACAGTACACTGTCTGAAGTGTTACTTCAGTAGACATGGTTGCTCTGATGTATTCAGTCTGTGATTCGCTTGTCACTGAGACAATTGTCCTTTAAAAATAACCATGTAAGGTTTACATTTTATAATTTCACAATGCCTCTAAAGTTGGTTTGTTTGGGAAAAAAAATGAAAACAGATGTAGTTAGTTTTTTCCAAGTAATTTATGTATGAAGATAATATAAATACAATATCATTGTCTTGGATTGGCTAAGGCTCAACCCTGTAAGATCACTCACAACCCTGTAAGATCACTCACAACCCTGTAGGATCACTCACAACCCTGTAAGATCACTCACAACCCTGTAAGATCACTCACAACCCTGTAAGATCACTCACAACCCTGTAAGATCACTCATGGCTGGTTAACTTATCTGTCATAAGGGAGAATGGCAGTGTTATATATTACACACCTGTAAAGGTATATTATTGAAGACGTACAGCATCTCCATCCTAAGAAACCATGTAACTTACTTGGAAGTGGATCGCAGCTTAGGCAAGAAAGGGATACGTTATCCTCTTATTCGTTTCACATACATGTACTCTCGTTATTTTTATAAAGTTTGTAAAGAAAATTTGATTCATGTGTCACAGATATGTAGTGGGCAAGTATATAGGTGAATTATTGATAATCCACTCCTTTTTAATGAAAGTGGCCTCGTTGAAAGGTTTCATGATAAGTGGAACAGTTAAAGTTTATCTCTTCCTTAAAACATTGACTACCAGTACAACAGAACTGCGCGTGCGGGTCATGCAGATCAAGAGAGGTCATAGGGTCACCAACTTGGTGGGATGGGCTGTCCGATTTATGAACAGAATGACAATTGCCCAAAAACTTCCGGACTCATTGAATTCCAGAGATACATCATCAAAATGAGGTGGAAGTTCAGACACTACTATAGCCCCGACCAATATTAAGACCGTGACTATTCGAACGACGGGAAACGAAAAAAAAAAATAGATTCACCGTAATGCCAACGTGTATGGCCGATGATTAAAACATTTGAATTTTATTTATTTATTTGTTGTTTTTATCTCCAAACTATCATATATGACCGATGACTTTTACATATAACTATGTGAAAGGAGGTAATCCAATGTGGCGGACGCAGAACTCGGGAATGATAACCCAAAGAATGGCATGTTCCTGCGTATAATGCGCACCCCCTTTTTTAAATGATAGTTTTATCTTGAAAAAGTGTGCACTATATTCGGAAATTTACGGTATATAAGGGATAATGGATTCAGATTTATATTCCTGCTAAAATGTAATCTATATATGATGCACTTTATTTACACTCATTTGGATATTACATATTCCAGTGGATCAAAAAGGAAACGGACATCAAGTCCAAAATCCTCATCAAAGCTGGAGGAAGAGCCGCCTTCAGATGGGGACATTGAGACAGAGAGTCAGGACCAGTTTGAGACTGTGGATCCCAAAGACATGTCCCCACCTGCCTGGATAAGATGCTCTCCGGCTGATCTCTACTTTGCCAGGAACTCAGAGGTAGACACAACTTTTGTATACAGTTAATGTCAAGGTGTTCTGTATGTAGGTGTATAAGGTCATTCTGAATATAGCTTTATAGCATTTTTTGACAAGAAATTCATTTACTTTAAAGGATAAAAATGCTATACAAAAATGCTGTTTTAAGATTTTGAAATTTCATAATTATAAATCTAATTACAAAGTCTAGCATTAGAAAACAGTAGATAAGTCAGCTGTATGTTTTCAGTCAGGGTGTATGGAAAGTACAAAGAGAATGACTGACCTAGAGGACAAGTTTGATCTGGACCTGCTTCAGAGAGCCAAGTTAATCAAGGAAGCTCAGCCAGTAATAGAGGTCCCTCCACCAGTCATGCATGGCCACACCCATCACCATGATCACTCAGGTAAATTCACTAGTAGTAGAAGTTCCCCTATCAATCACTCACGGCCACACTCATCACCATTATTCACTCAGGTAAATCCACCAGCAGTCGAGGTTTCCCATGACAATCTTGCTTTCTTTTAAAATGTATGTGATCTGTCTGAAAACAATTGCAATAGTCACCTTTAAACATTTATTCTCTTTGAACATTATATTTTGTTTTCAAATAAGTTTTATCACGACTGGTTTAAATTGACTGTCTTCATAACTATGGTAAATTTTTACCATTGTATAGACTCAGACAGCAGTAGCAGCAGCAGCAGCTCTGATTCTGATGACAATGAAGATGAGGACAACAAGTGGATGGAGGAGCTAAACAGGAAAAAGAATCACCCGTATAGACTGCATGAGGAACTCTGGTACAATGACCCAGGGGAGGTAAGGTCATATAGGGTTCACCTCTGTGTTATGGTAGCTATTGTTTGAACTCAGGAATGTACAGGAAATTTATCTACAATTTCTGAAGTTTTTTACAATAAAATGACGTGTATATCCGAGAAGATCTCAATGAGTTGAATATGTTAGAATGAAGAAGTTAAATATGAAATAAGATGTAATCACCATTCTTCATTAAGTGGTAAACTGGAGATCTCAGCACCGATATTTTATAGTTGCTGGTCATAAATAGAGTAATAGAGTGTACATATACTAGGGCAGTCTTTAACCAAATTTTAAGGCCATCTAAAACATCATTTGTTCAGAGAGTTGATTCAACACCTAGGGGTCTGAGGATGGGGTCCAAAAAGGGACAATGGTTTGATTCAAAATGCTACTCATCCTTTATTCTTACAGATATTTCATTCATATTTTGTCTAAAACATCATAAGGGATGGGTAATTAATTCTTAATAGATAAATAAATAAAATAAATAATAAAAAATTAATAGAAAGTCAATTAGACCCTGAGGGACTTAGATGTGGGGTTCTGGAAGGGGAAGTTAGGCAATATTTGCTTCAAAATGTCATCTTTCTTAATGCTTAAGTAGATTTCAACCAAAATTGGTCTGAAACATCATTGCAGGTTGGGAATCATTTCTGGTATTTAGATAGTTGATCTGATTGCTAGAGACCTGTGGGCAGGGCCGAAAATTGGGAAGTTAGACGATGCCTTGCTTCAAAATGCTACCCGATGCACTTCCTTAATGCTTGAATGGATTTCACTTAAATAAAATGTTGGCAATTAATTCTTCAATTCAGAAAGTGAATTTGACCCCTAGAGGACTTAGGGGTGGGGCCACAAAAGGGGAAGTTAAACAATACTTTTTTTTCAAATTGCTAACTGTCCTTAATGCTTGAATAGATTTCATTCAAATTTTGTCTGAAATGTGGGCAAACAAATTCTTCAATTCAGAAAATTTGACTTTTAGGGACTTAGGGGTGGAGCCAATATTTTCCTTTAAAATGCTACTCCTTCTTAATTCCATTGTGGATTTCACCCCCAAATTTGGCCTGAAACACTACAAAGGAGTGGCAATGATACCAAATGTCCATGAAGTGATCCTGAGATTGTCCTGACCAATTCTTATTTTAAGGTTTGGTCCAAATAGTCTGAACCACTTCTCAAGTTTCATTCACACCATTGAGAAAATATGGAGTTAAGTTGATTTAGGAAAAGAAACAGATGATATGTTATCAATTTTCAACCTGGTCAAAACTTCAACATGGCAACCACAGTAGCCATTTTGTAACATGATTCAGTTTCATTTCAACAAATTTTATTGACAAGATGTAAATGTCAAACTGGATTGAATAACAGGCAAAGCCTATGTAAATTCTCTCCAAATAACTGTTTTCTATGTATGAGTTTCTGATACTTTCTAGGAATGTTCAAAATTTGAATTCATCAGAATAATTTGACCACCATTAGAGAATTCTGTGGTCTGTCTGATCATCTGTTGATTTCCAGATGGCCGTTAAGGGTCAAAGCCCTCTTGTTTATGGTAGGTCTGCAAACTTAAGTGGCTTTTCATAATTTCTGACTTCTTTTGCTGTATCCAGTTAATATTCTATTGACAGATGAATGATGGTCCTGTCTGTCGCTGTAGTTTGAAATCCAGAAGGACTGGAATACGTCATGACAAATATCCAGGAGAGGAATCATATGATTTATGTAACTCTGTATCTAACAATAAAAATGTGCTGTACCACTACGTCATCACAATGTCCCCGCCCACAAACTTTCTGGTGAGTTGTATAACGGCATCACCATCATATTTTCATCATTCTTAAAAAAACCACACTTTTACTCATACCTTACAGCCTGTGAGATTCAAATTAGGACTAATATTTTTCTCTGTCTTAATGTTTATTTTGATAAGCAGGCATTACCAGAGTTTCACACCAGAAAGTTTCTGTATTTAAGATATTAATTGTAAATCTCTGCCAAATTGTACCGGTTACATCAGTTTGATATGAAATAATGTTATATTTGTTTTTATTTCAGACCCGTAGCCCCACCATTATTGAACATGACAATCACGAATATATTTTTGAAGGGTTTTCATTATTTTCTCACTATAAACTTGAAAATGTAAGTATTCTTTTGGAGATATACATTGTATTAGAATATGTGATTTATGTAAAGTAAAATGCCTTCCAAAAGCCACTTTTTTATATCCTAGTAACAGTATTTATCTGAAGTGAATAGATTGAATGATTGTTGAAAAAAACATAAATAAGCTTTAGGTAATTTGTTTGAAATAGACTACTGTGAAGTAATATCCGTGATTTTGCCAGATATATTGACTTTGTCCTGATGGAGAACAAATTGTAACTTTATCTAAGTAGGTCTGTATTTACAACCTACTGGATGTTACATGTAAGTAAGTAAAGACGTACCTGTGAAAAATTTACCTGTTATCAACAAAAAATCCACTTAATAAGCAAGTGTCAATAGAAACTGAATATACAAATTTCATTTAACTTAAAATTTCAACTGATGATTCATATTTGGGAGTTTAAAGACATTGTTCTTATAACCAAGACATGAAGAACTTCTACTTGTGTTTTGTTTTATTGCGTCAACAGATACCTGTGTGTAAAGTGATCCGGTTCAACATTAACTACACAATCCATTTCTTTGAGGAAACAGTTCCAGAGGTGAGACATTTATTGTTGAGGTTTAAAAATATTGAAAATGTACTGTGTGGTATTAACTAGATACCAGAATTCTCTATCTATTTATTGTAACGGTAAACTTCATGATATCTTTTTTGTGTTAATGTAAACATCACAATATCTTTTTTGTGTTGTTGTAAACTTCACGATATCTTTTTTGTGTTGCTGTAAACTTCACGATATCTTTTTTGTGTTGCTGTAAACTTCACCATATCTTTTTTGTGTTAATGTAAACTTCACCATATCTTTTTTGTGTTGCTGTAAACTTCACCATATCTTTTTTGTGTTAATGTAAACTTCACCATTTGGTTTCACAAAATATCTTATTTCAGATACACTGATGTATATCATAATTTTTCATCATTAAAAGTGTGAACTGAAAACACATAAGATTACTTTTTCCTGATTCAAAGTTTGCCAGTTCTTATAACAAAAATAGCGAAAGTTGGATACAGGAGACAAAAATACGATGTAATTGTTTTAACATCTATTTCACTGATGTCCTGTAAATGTAGGAAGTTGTGTTATTCAGTGAATGTTGTTAGAAGTTTATATTTTCTTGTTCCGGTATAATACTTTTGTTGTTCTTTCAACAGAACTTTACCATCCGGAGCCTTGATCTGTTCTCCCAGTTTCTGTTCACGGAAATTCTAGAACTAGTGGATCTTGACTGGAAAGGTCCTGGAGGGGAAGATTCATGTCCACGCTTTCACTTAATGCCAAGATTTGCTCGTAGTCTGCCAGGTCTGTCAAGACATTAACGAAACTGAAACATCAGAATTTACTTTTTTTAAAATTATTCCATTACTGAAACAATCATTGTTTGAAAGAAATATTTTAATACGTTGAAGATCATAAGCATCATGCTCTGTAGTCCTAATGTCAGTTGCTTAAAGGTCATGTAGAGTTTACAAGTTGTTAATGAAAAATTGTGTATCATATTCCATTATTGAACTGACTTTGGCACCCGTAGGAGATCTTTTATTTAAGGAAAAAACTTTTAACGGTCTGAGAAAAGATTTGATCAATAGATTTTGAATGAAGTAAGGTGACCTTTCCTTTTTATTTTTTTTTTCAGAAAATGGTAAAGAAATCCTATCAATGAATGAAGTGTTGTTGTATTTGCTGCGATGCTCTAAACCATTGTTGGAGGAGACAGAACTTGCACAGATGTTAAAAGCTGACCAGCATGAATGGCAGAATTTCCTGGATGAAATACGTGGAATGGTGGTCACATATCCTGGAATGGTTAGTAGTAATAGCTAAACAAAACCTGTAACCAATTAATTATTGTCTAGGTTTACTGAAAAAGTTGTGAAATAGTTATAGTAACATTAGAGTATATAGAGCGTAAGGGGTCAATAGCCTCTGAACTTTGAAAAAGAATTTTTGTGTGATAAGTGATTTTAAAGTCATATGTATCTCAGATATAAATAGTACATGATGACAGCAGTTTGACTAATGGATAGTGTAAGAGAACTTATACAGTAGACATGTACTGTGATTATCCTGGTTTATATACTGTTGTTTATCATTTATTGTTATAGAAGCCAAGTTCCCTAAGGATTGACCAGCTAGATCGACAACAATCTGAAACAGACGTCATTACTTATCCTCTCATCATCCACTTTGGTATCCGCCCTGCCCAGCTGAGTTACGCTGGGGATCCTTAGTAAGTGGTGTCCACTCAGCCCTGTCCAGCTGAGTTATGCTGGGGAATCCTATTTAGTGGTATCAGCCCAGCTGAGTTATGCTGGGGATCCTTAGTAAGTGGTGTCCCCTCAGCCCTGCTGACTGAGATACGCTGGGGATCTGTAGTAAGTGGTGTCCACTCAGCCCTGCTGACTGAGTTACGCTGGGGATCCTTAGTAAGTTTTGTCCACCCAGCCCTGCTGACTGAGTTACGCTGGGGATCCTTAGTAAGTTTTGTCCACTCAGCCCTGCTGACTGAGTTACGCTGGGGATCCTTAGTAAGTGGTGTCCACTCAGCCCTGCTGACTGAGTTACGCTGGAGATCCTTAGTAAGTGGTGTCCACTCAGCCCTGCCCAACTGAGTTACGCTGGGGATCCTTAGTAAGTTTTGTCCACTCAGCCCTGCTGACTGAGTTACGCTGGGGATCCTTAGTAAGTGGTGTCCACTCAGCCCTGCTGACTGAGTTACGCTGGAGATCCTTAGTAAGTGGTGTCCACTCAGCCCAGCTGAGTGATGCTGGGGATACCTATTTAGTGGTATTAGCCTAGCTGAGTAATGCTGGGGATACCTATTTAGTGGTATTAGCCCAGCTGAGTGATGCTGGGGATACCTATTTAGTGGTTTTAGCCCAGCTGAGTGATGCTGGGGATACCTATTTAGTGGTATTAGCTCAGCTGAGTGATGCTGGGGATACCTATTTAGTGGTATTAGCCCAGCTGAGTGATGCTGGGGATCACTATTTAGTGGTTTTAGCCCAGCTGAGTGATGCTGGGGATACCTATTTAGTGGTTTTAGCCCAGCTGAGTGATGCTGGGGATACCTATTTAGTGGTTTTAGCCCAGCTGAGTAATGCTGGGGATACCTATTTAGTGGTATTAGCCCAGCTGAGTGATGCTGGGGATCACTATTTAGTGGTATTAGCCCAGCTGAGTGATGCTGGGGATCACTATTTAGTGGTATCAGCCCAGCTGAGTGATGCTGGAGATTTTTAATAAGTAGTATCTACCCAGTTGAATCAATGAAATAGTTCATTTGAATTGTATTAATTTGTCATAAATAGGTTTTTGGTTAAAACTTCAGATTTTGGAGAAGTTGCTGTCAAAAATTTAGTGGCTAGTCCATTTCTTTTCAGAAAGAGTTTATATCAGATAAGTTTTCTTCTAATCTCTCAGAAAGAAATGCACTTTGCATTGAAAATATTATGTTTAGGTGAATTTTAGATAAGTATAATGACATCCGAGTTTAAACATGTTACACACTATAAGGGAGATGGTTTTTTTATCTGTCTGGTTTGGAAGGATTACGGTTTTGAGTTAAAATTATTATTTTTATGATGAATTTTGGGAATTATAGAATTTAAGTGACCTGGATAGTGTTGTATTTAAATAGTGTTCTCGTGATAAGGATTTACCATTACTACTACTGTTATTATTATGACATTCTTAACGGCCGTCGACACATTAAACGTCATTAGAGCCATCAACCGGTAAAACACTCAATGATCTTGCCACTACTAATTTAAGCTATATGATAGGTAGATTTTAGGAAAAGATACCTGTCTCTTGGTGTCAATTTTGTGCAATAATGATAATATTGACAAAGCAGAACAGACAAGACCTTTGTTCACATGTAATTCATTTGTTTAGATTTTGTTGTTAACTGATAGTGTGTGAAATGTCTAAGGCATTATTTTAGTAAATTAACTCCTGCAGGACACGGGGACAAATTCTCTCTAATATGTTTCATCAAATGTTTCCAAATTTAAGTGATTGTATTTGTGTTGGACAGCTACCAGAAGACTTGGAAACAGTATGTGAAGTTTAAACACCTCCTGAACAGTAAACCCAAGGTGACCTTCTCAGACAAACAGAAACTAGAACAGAAAGAGAGTTATTTACAGGAGCTCCGCACGAAGAGGTGAGACACATCAATATTCCTATGTTACTTCACAAAGAGTTAAGACACATCAATATACCTTTGTCACTACACAAAGAGGTAAGACACATCAATATACCATTGTCACTACACAAAGAGGTAAGACATCAATGTACCTTTGTCACTACACAAAGAGGTAAGACACATCAATATACCTTTGTCACTACACAAAGAGGTAAGACACATCAATATACCCTTTTCACTACAAAAAGAGGTAAGACACATCAATATAGCTTTGTCACTACACTGAGAGGTAAGACACATCAATGTACCTTTTCACTACAAAAAGAGGTAAGACACATCAATATAGCTTTGTCACTACACTGAGAGGTAAGACACATCAATGTACCTTTGTCACTATACAAAGAGGTAAGACACATCAATATACCATTGTCACTATACAAAGAGGTAAGACACATCAATGTACATTTGTCACTACACAAAGAGGTAAGACACATCAATATACCTTTGTCACTACACAAAGAGATAAGACACATCAATATACCTTTGTCACTACACAAAGAGATAAGACACATCAATATACCTTTGTCACTACAGAAAGAGGTAAGACACATCAATATACCTTTGTCACTACAGAAAGAGGTAAGACACATCAATATACCTTTGTCACTACAGAAAGAGGTAAGACATATCAATATACCTTTGTCACTACAGAAAGAGGTAAGACACATCAATATACCTTTGTCACTACAGAAAGAGGTAAGACACATCAATATACCCTTGTCACTACAGCAAGAGGTAAGACATATCAATATACCTTTGTCACTACAAAAAGAGGCTTCCATCTGAGCCAACAAGAACGATTAATATAAGTTGGAAAAACTTGCTTTGCAATTGTTGTAAAATAATTAAAATTTATTATGAAAAAAAAGAGGTAAGACACATCAATATATGTGTTGTTGGATACTGTATACTGATTGTAAAATAACATGTGTTGTCAGATAATGTATACTGATTGTAAAGTAGAAATGTTGGTTCCATAAGTTCTGTGATCTTTTGTTCCAGTACCATGAAGAGGGAGGTTACAGTGGAGATCAGTAGTGAAGGTTTCCTGAGGACAGGAATCAAGTCTGATATAACTCAGGTCACTATCATTGGATTATCAGGGTTATTTCAGACTGTATGACACTGTGTGCTGGAAGTGAAATGTCAAGGTTTTGGGGAATCAAACTGTATGCTGGAAGTGAAATGTCAAGGTTTTGGGGAATTAAACTGTGTGCTTGAAGTGAAATGTCAAGGTTTTGGGGAATTAAACTGTGTGCTGGAAGTGAAATGTCAAGGTTTTGGGGAATTAGACTGTGTGCTGGAAGTGAAATGTCAAGGTTTTGGGGAGGGGAAAACTGTTACTAAACTTTATAATGATAAGGATGGTGAAATAGTACATAACTTGGTATCATTATCTTGCCTTGTTGAAGCCATGTTTACCGGATATATCACTATATCTGTATTTAGGAATATTTTTATTTCTGGTTTGTAATGTCAGTAGAATAGAAGTTCTTATAACACAACCAGTAGAAGATTAGAGTGTCACATTTTTATGACTACACGGTCACCTTCATCCCACATGAAAGTTTGATGGAGGTGACCGTGTAATCTTTTCCACTATATCTATACATTTTACAAGATTAAGAATGCCACATTGGTTTATTTAGTACCAAGAAGTAATTTGGTTTCCGATTTTTTGATAGATTAGAGTGATATCAGCTGAATTGACCTGTTTCTGAATAAAACATACACAGATTTAATATTTCTTTCTGTGTGTTGTCCCCAGATTTAATATTTATTTCTGTGTTTCATCACCAACAGCATGCCATGTTGATTCCAGTACTGCTAGGACATCTTCGGTTCCATCAATGTCTGTCTGTGCTGGAGAAAACACTTGATTACAAATTCAAAGACAGATCATTGTTACAGGTATGTACAAAGACACACTACTTATATATCAATCAATTAGAGATATTTCTTAATGAGATTTCTTTCCTTTTAGTTTTTCAATCGTTGATATCATTAGAGATACATGATAGCTCATTTGTCATGATACACCACTTCAGTTTGGCAGGAACAAGCAGATACAATGATGTAATTTGACCTGGTGTATATATTTGTGTTAAAGTTTCCTCTTAAAGAGTTCTTTCTTTCTTTGATTTCAAAACTGTTTTCTAACTAGCAAATGCTGTACAAAGTTCAGAAAAAGAGGATTGTGTAAAAAACCCCAAAAATATCACAAAAATAAAATTCCGAAATCTTGTGTGTTTGTGACAGTTGGCTTTAACCCACACCTCATACAAAGTTAATTACGGCACCAATCCTGACCATGCCCGTAACTCCCTGTCAAATTGTGGGAGGAGGCAGCTGGAGTATGGTGATCGAAAGATCCATTACGCTCACACACGTAAACGTGGTAAGTAAACATACAAGGAGACGTATGCAACCAAACTTTGTTTAAACTCCAGTGAACGTTTAGTAATGTGTGCAGAGTAATTGGAGAGTGTTTATTTTAGGTTTTATGATATAAGAACAATTTAGAGGATTTAGATATAAAAGTGTAATTAATGAACATGTTCCTGGCTTTTGCCTGAATGATTTTAGATATTGTGAGTATATTAAACCACTCTTGAATTGAACTTAGTATGTCACTGAAGGAAGATACCTATTCTACATATTTTTTCATGAGACTGGTATTCAGCTAGAAGTCGTGTAAAACAAATGTTATATTTGTGTAAATATGATAGTCAAGTTCAAAAATTTATTTCTTACTTAATGTAATGAAATTGGGGGCAAGGTTATACACTGTTTAGAAGGATCAAACTGTCAGTGGTGGCCACATTGAGTTACCATGTTGTCCCGTTGACTGTTGTTAGGTATAAACATCCTGTTGAACATCATGTCACGAATGGGTAACAAGGAGGAGTTGTCCTCAGAGATCCCGCACAACGAACGACTTGAGTTCCTCGGAGATGCTGTTGTGGAGTTTATCACTAGGTGAGGTGGTAGACCTTTCAGAAAAGTAATATATAACCATCTTCCCATAGTGGATATTATATAAACAATTCTACACCTAAACCTACCACAAGTGATATATAATCAACCCTGCTCAACTCTTACATGATAGATATTATATAAACATTTCTACACCTAAACCTACCACAGAGGTAATTTATAATCAACCCTGCTCAACTCTTACATGATAGATATTATATAAACATTTCTACACCTAAACCTACCACAGAGGTAATTTATAATCAACCCTGCTCAACTCTTACATGATAGATATTATATAAACATTTCTACACCTAAACCTACCACAGAGGTAATTTATAATCAACCCTGCTCAACTCTTACATGATAGATATTATATAAACATTTCTAGACCTACCATACACTGTTGTTTGGTTGATAACATGTCTGAAAAGGAAAGCACAGATGTGTACCACATTTTGGTGATGAAATTGTGTTTATATTTTCCACTCTCCGTCTTAGAGTGAATATGAATAGAAATCAGTGTGTCTGTGTATCCATGCATGGCTTGACCTGTCTGTAGTAACCAGCTTATCTACAAGATATCTTATGAGACTCATATCAAGTTCACTTCATATCAAAGCCACTGTATCAAAGAATTAATTCTACACCTGATGAGATTGCTTTGAGGTTAAGGTTAAAAGGTCAAAGGTCACACTTAGACCATTTTTTTAATCAAAAACTTATTTTCATAGCATATTTAATTATTTAATTCATATGAATGCTATAGTATCCTAACATAAAAATCATTATCTTCTTCGACCTTAGTGGTTGATGTAATAACATCATTTATCAGTCTTGAAACTTTGGATTGCTTTTTGTCAGTTCTATGTTTCATACATGAAATTGGTCTTATGTTGCAGTGTCCACTTATTCTATATGTTTCCCTGGCTGGAGGAGGGTGGACTGACCACTTATAGAGCAGCCATTGTCCAGAATCAACAGCTGGCTGTACTGGCAAAGGTACATAATCAGGATTACTGATCAACATGACAAAATTATGTCTTGTTTCTTTTGTGAATTTACCTTTCCCATCTCCCTTTCCCTAAAAATAAGCAATCACAATTTGTTACTGGAGATATGTATTTTGCTTTCAAAGTTCTGTCATTTAAAATGCCAGAACAAGACAGTGTCATTGTGTATATACCATATTGGACCTAAAAAGCACTTATTGCACTTACAAAAATTAATTCAAACAAGATACACTTGATGAAACTATTTACAGTTTGCCTGTGAAGCTATAAAAATGTGGAAGAAATGTTTTGAACCTGTTTGAATTTTAAGAAATTGAAACTACTGGTTAAAAATGTTATTTTCCTGGGTGGAGATGGGAGTCTATTATAAAATTGTTGTCTTTTGAAACATTCACCATACTGCAATACATTTTAAATGACAGTTGAGAAATCACAGGTTTCATTTTTATCTTCATAACTTTGGATACTGTGAGGAAACCAGCCAGTGAAAAGCACATTTCTGCTTGTATATTGGTTGAAGTCAGCATTGATACAGTGGTATACAGAGGTGGATTTAGACTTAATATGACTAAGGATTAATGTTTGGTAAAATCTTTATAAAACTTAAATTATTGGAATAGCCTTGATTTGATTATCAAAAAGTGAAGCAATGTTGTTCTTTGACAAAACGATTGCTTAGCTTGTAATACAGAGTTGGGGCCATGAGTTGTGTCAGCTGGCACACACACGATTTTATGGCAAGATGTAAAAAAAATAAAACTACCCAAACATACTAATTACGTGACGTGTATGTGTATAATTTGATGCTATCAATTACTTATGGTGATTTACTGCCTGCTACCCAGTGTTTAACGTCAATGTGAAAAGTGACTATATGGAACGATTATTGTGACGCCAATATCTCTATCAATAGTAACATGTGTGGTCATGTGATATGTTCAAACAATTCGAAATGTAAGTGAAACAAACTAAAATTAGAATCAGTTCCAGCTATTACTAGACAGAAAATAATTGTTTTTGTTGAAAAAAATCATGTGTTCGAACTACCTGCCTATTGGAACTGACTGGAGGTTAACTGTAGTTTGAAATAAAACTTCAGCCTGAATACTTTGTAGATGTGAAACTAGGGGACAATGATGCTGAATATTGTAATGGTAGATTACATTCAGACTAATAGCTGTTGGAGTGAGACACTTTGGAGGCTGCTATTGTATAAAAAAAGATTGCTCTGTTTTAAAGTTGGATCAATTTGCATTGTTCAAATATACTTCGATAAATTGCTGAAAGCCCAAGATTTAGCAAGAACCATATCAGTTGAATTTTTGTTTTCAGAAACTCACCCTTCAGAACTTCATGCTGTATGCCCATGGTCCAGACCTGTGTCATGAGTCGGACCTCAAACATGCCATGGCTAACTGTTTTGAAGCCCTTATGGGTAAGTTTGATTTGTCTTGTAACATTTATCACCCAGCCTGCTAAATGTTTGTCGTGAAATGCGGTAATGTTTGCTTACATTAAAAAAATGGCTACTAAAACAGGCTCTAGTGAAGCTTTCCTTTGGTTTGTACATCTGGAAGTTTCATTGAACTTTGATATAACTGAACTCCCATATTACCCACACTGTTATGGGAATTACAGCTTCTTTTGTGAAAGAATTAGTCAAGAAGCTGATTTGGAATTCTACCTAAACTCCTCAGGAAACTGATTTGCTTTGATTTCCTGTACATGATAACCAGAAATTCTGCAAAAGACTTAAATGAACCTTGTTATCAAAACATCTCGACTAGGGATTGTTGAGATCGTTGTTCAGTACATGATAACTTACACTGTGTTTCCTATGACCAGGCATGTGGTGTAGTCCCATCTCTAGGAACTCGAGTCCTCAAACTATATACTTCCATGATCCTGAGTTGTCTTTGAGGAAAATTGCAGATTATTTATATTCAGTACACAGATTCATTTTTGATGCACATCTAAAAACCTTTGACAGGTTTGGTCTTCATACACCAGGGGATATGGGTCATTATTTTCACCTGTTTGTTTTCCAGAAATTATCAGTTGCTTTGGAACAGTGTTAGACAATCTAAACCTTATTTGCATTTTTCAGATAATTTATCTGTAACTGTAGCAGGTGTTCTCTTCAGATGTCAAACATCTATATGTACATTTTGATAAGGAATGTTTTTTTATTTACTCTTAAGAATTATTCTTTTTGGGCAGTTCTCAAATCTTACAGGGACCTGTTTTCAACAGGGGCTGTGAAGGATCATATCAAGATTAATATTCGATTTGTAAAATGTTAATAATAGTGGATGTTTTTGTGTTAACAGAGTATCAATTGATGATTACAAAATCAATTATGTTACATTATATTAGTACTAACATGTCTCTTTTGAAACAGGTGCCCTGTTTATATACAAATGTTAGTACAGATATATCTCTTTTGGAACAGGTGCCCTGTTTATAGACAAATGTTAGTACAGATATATCTCTTTTGGAACAGGTGCCCTGTTTATATACAAATGTTAGTACAGATATATCTCTTTTGGAACAGGTGTCCTGTTTATATACAAATGTTAGTACTGATATATCTCTTTTGGAACAGGTGTCCTGTTTATATACAAATGTTAGTACAGATATATCTCTTTTGGAACAGGTGCCCTGTTCATAGACAATGGTATAGAGCTAGCAGGACGTATTTTCTGTCAAACATTGTTTGATGATGACCGCCTTGTGAAGACATGGAGAGAATTGGCCCTTCATCCGCTCCAGGAGGAGGAGCCTAATGGCGACAGACAGTGGGTGGAATCAAGCCCTGCCTTACAGGTCAGAACCAAAGGGTTACTGGAGCTGAGAGGCTATATAGGTCACTTGTCATGTCTTGTCATTGAAACCACTTTATGACTCTAATTTAACCTTGGTTTTTACAGAACGTGTTTATCTAACAAAATGATTTTCGACCATGTTGTCATCAATACTTGAAACAATTATACACATTTATGTAAAGAATGGGGTCAGGCAGTTTTATAATAGCAGCTTTATTAATAAACATATGTTCTACAGGTTTGGTTTATATCCTGTTGAGTAAGCTATAGGTCCATGTAATGTTACAATGTTAAAAAGCTATCTTACAAAGTTACATTTTCCGAATGCTTTGTAGATATTCCAAGAGACGACAATATCTTCTAGTTCTTGAAATACTGCTAGCTGCCTTAAACAGTTGGATGTATTATGAGGACCATATTCAGAGAACACAGAACTATGTGATTGACTAGAAGATATATGATATCAGTCTGGTGTACTTAGATATAGTTATATACATTTATGGACACAGCTTTCATTGAAACATTAATTCTCAAGTTGAATCTAACAATTTTTTTCTTATTTTTTTTAGAAATTATTGAATTTTGAAGAAGCAACGGGGATTACATTTAACCATATACGTTTGCTGGCCATGAGGAGTGTGGGCGTACATATTTAACTATATACTGCTGGTGAAGGACCTTGAGGTGTGTGTGGGCTATGAAAGGTGTGTTGACTATAATAACCTTACATTGTAAGTACATATTTAACTATATATGTCTGCTGGTGAAGGCTTTCACCTTGAGGAGTGTTGACTATAATAACCTTACATTGTAAGTACATCTTAAACAATTATGGACCTTTGATGAGGTCAGTATGAAAAATGTTAACTTAATAACTACTGGAAGGAATGTACAAAAGACACACAAAAGAACATTAATTTTCAGTAGGAATTTTATATTAGAAACAGTAGAGCTCTATTATGTTGTCCTCTGTGAAAAAGAACTGAGCATTGACAGCCTTACTAATTACTCTGTAAACTTCTTTAACATTTGTTTGTGATGTTTTTTCAGGGGTCATAACCAGAGGCTTGAGTTCCTAGGAGATACAGTGTTACAGCTTGTGGCATCACAGTACTTATTCCGTCACTTTCCTGACCATCACGAGGGCCATCTGTCTGTATGTTCCTTACTCTCATTTCAGACAGATACACTCAAATAATACAAGTGGGAGTGAGCTGGGAATACCCTATTTGTGTGCTTGTTTGTGTGTGTGTGTATGTATGTCTGTCTGTCTGTCTTTCTGTTGCTAATTGTGCAAAACAAAAGAAAATCACATTTGGTTCTAAGACAGTTTCAACAATTATATTATTGAACAAGATTATATACTGACAGGATAAAGACTTTTTTCATCTCTGATGATTTTACTGTGACATGATGTTCTGACTGACCTTTGTGTCCCCAGTTGTTGTGTGTTGCGAACTCAATGTACTGTTTGACCTTTGTGTCCTCAGTTGTTGTGTGTCATGGAACTTAATGTACTAACTGACCTTTGTGTTCCCTAGTTCCAGTACGTTTTGTTGCAGACAAACCAGTGTGTTGGCACTTTGAATGTAACATTTCAGGCATAAATTTGGACAAGCCTGCAAGTGATGATACAGGCCTTGAAAGGCTTAATCAAAGCTTGTTACAAAGCAAAATGAGATCAGTAGTTCTACCATGAATGAACGTCTCTGGTCCAACTGATCAACAAAAATGGCCCATTTGCAGTATAGTATGTGACTTGATGCACTGACTGATTGTTCTGTCCCAAGTTGTTGTACATCATGTGACCAAATGTACTTTCTATTTTCACAGTTGTTGCGGAGTTCCTTGGTAAATAACAGGACACAATCCATCGTATGTGATGACCTCAATATGTCCGAATACGCAATTTTTGCGGAAACAAGAGGAGATAAGCTTGATATGAAAACAAAAGAAAAGGCTGATCTTCTTGAAGGTCTGTACTTTGTCTGATTCTGTTCTAATGAGATCCAAAACAGAACTGTTTCTTTATCTGTATATCTATATACTGTCTACATGTACCTATATACTGTCTACAGATATCTATATACTGTCTACAGATATCTATATACTGCCTACATATACCTATTTACTGTCTACAGATATCTATATACTGCCTACAGATATCTATATACTGCCTACATATATATATATACTGCCTACATATACATATATACTGTCTACAGATATCTATATACTGTCTACAGATATCTATAGATATCTATATACTGTCTACAGATATCTATATACTGCCTACATACACCTATTTACTGTCTACAGATATCTATATACTGCCTACAGATACCTATATACTGCCTACAGATATCTATATACTGTCTACAGATATCTATATACTGTCTACAGATATCTATATACTGTATACAGATATCTATATACTGTATACAGATATCTATATACTGCAGATATCTATATACTCTCTACAGATATCTATATAATATCTACATATATCTATATACTGTCTACAGATATCTATATACTGTCTACAGATATCTATATACTGTCTACAGACATCTATATACTACAGATATCTATATACTGTCTACAGATATCTATATACTGTCTACAGATATCTATATACTGTCTACAGATATCTATATACTGTCTACATATATCTATATACTGTCTACAGACATCTATATACTATCTACAGACATCTATATACTGTTTACAGAACTGTCTCTTTATCTGTATGTCTATTTGGTGATGTGGTGAGTCTATATCTGAAATCACAGAATTGAAAACTTGGATTTATTTTTTTTTGAAAAGAAATTTTTGTGCATTGTTTGATTTCTTATCTGTTCTACATTACCAATAAACATTTTCTTTTTGTAGATTTTCCAAATGTAAAGTGGCATTTATCATTGTCTTTGTAGAAAATCTAAGAGGGACAACTTTACATGTAATTCCATAGAATTCTTGAATGTTATATTGCATTGTTTGAAACACCTGTTTAGAATACTTTTAATTTTGCAGCATTCATTGGAGCGTTGTTTGTGGACAAAGGTATTGATCACTGCAAAGTCTTCTGCAATGTCTGTTTCTTCCCACGACTCAAGGACTTTATCATGAACCAGGACTGGAATGATCCAAAGTCCCAACTTCAACAATGCTGTCTCACTCTTCGAGAACTGGATGGAGGCGAGCCAGACATTCCTTTATACAAGTAAGTAGCAGTTTTGTCAGAAAAAAAATGATGATTTCATGCATCTTTAGGGAAATATTTGTACCGTGTAAGCAGAAATATGCCTTACTTATAAGAGTAATAAATCACTGTTTTGTGTGAAATAGAATCTTACACATGTCATACTGAATTAATCAAACTCGTCCATTGATTAATGTAACACTTAATTGTTATATCAAATTGTAAGAAGAGTTTGATCAATTCTATAAGACATGGCAACTCTTAATTTTCTACAGAGCAAACCTTTTTCTCACTTTTCAGCTTTTTATTTTGTCGGTAGTAGTATTTTATTGACACTAGAATGTGATATGACACCCACCATAAAATATAATATCAGGTGAGCTATGTACTACTTAAATGTTTCATATAGTTATTCTTCTCCTCATTTTTTGTATTTGGACTTCCCCAATGATGTATTTTTTTCTTTCAGGATGATAGAGGCATTCGGACCAACTAACACTCGGGAGTATACTGTGGCTGTGTATTTCCGAGACGAGAGATTAGCTAAGGGGATGGGCCACAGTATTCAGCAGGCGGAAATGGCTGCAGCCAGGAATGCACTGAAAGAAAGATCAGGTAGAGCTCTCACAGTTGTAACATTTCATATCAGTGATTTGTAGATTTAGATATAAAATGAAAATAACTTTGAGAGGAAAACATTGTTTGACAGTTGGAAGGTAATATCACAAACACTGGTAAAGTACTTTATTAAGTCTTCACAATATACACCACAATAATATTCTATGTTAATTTTTGCTGACAGCATATTTTGAAGTTGTAATATCCACAGGATAATAAATATTCTGTTTATCTGTGTACTGTAGAAAGTATTTTTTTTTAAAGAATTATTCCCTATCCTCGCACACCAAAAGAGATTCTTGGAGAAGAAACAGAGGAAGAGAAAGCATGGTCGCAGACAAAGGGTAGGAGAGCGGAATGGAGGTGAAAGAGGGGCTGGATCTTCCTCAGGGTACAGCCAATCTCCCAACAAATCAGCTGACAACAGGCGGCGGCCCGGCAGGCGTGGACGGTGAAAGAGACTTGCTGGTTTAGAGTGTTTATAAGTCAGAGTAAAAAAAGGCGAGGAATTGATTACCTCTGCCTTTTTACTATTAGACTTTTGGAAACAGACATGGTTCTGTTAATAACCGTATTGAAATCAACCAAGTTGATTGTGTGGCAAGACATCAGAAAGTGACCAAACCACCTTGTCAGATGTGAAAGGACTGTTTAATAGGGAAGGGCACCTGTTAACACTGTCTGATAAGGTATTCTGTAAGTAAGGTCAAGTAAACAGCAGTAGACAATGACCTTATCACACAAGTCTGTTTAGGATGATGTTACAGATGGTGAGTCTGTTTAGGATGATGTTACAGATGGTCGAAGGTAGGTGAAAGTGGTCGTAAATGGAGTAATAAAAACTTTCACTGTCTTTAAGTTGAGATGGTGAATCTCAACCCAATGGGAATATAATTAAGTTGTCAAACACAAGGCTTGCCAAGTGTTTTACAGCTTTGTTATCTTCCCCTGTGGGTTTAGATCCCCCCATCTCATCCTAAAGGGGATGAGTGATTGTTTTTCTTTACAAAGTGTATTGTGTGTGAACAAATAACATGGATGGTGTATGGATAGTGATGAGGCCTGCTTTTAATTTTGATGGGAACACAAGATTTTTGGTTTTGAGAATAACACAAGATTCCAGTAACAGACAAAATAAGTCTGTGTGTGACCTTATAAAGGTAGTTCTACTTCCGGGTCACATAAGTGACACCTCTTTAATTGTAGTCGGAACATACAAAGAGTATGTGGTATGTGTAGCTTGTCTCAACACTAGGGTGAGACAAGAAAATCTCACACTAGTAAAAACGTGGATTTACCTGTCCAGGATAAAATCAACGTCTAGTCTTGTTTGAAACTCTTTTATGTGAACAGTTTCCTAGTCAAAGGTGAATGATACAGCCAAGTGCTTGAAGTTTAGCAATAAAGTTTGTTTTACTGTTAATGACCTTATGTCATTTCCTTCTGAATGTTTACAGTTTTCAGTCATGGGGAAATGATATTCAAGATATTAGATAAAATGTTTATGCCCACAATGGAAGACAATGCAAAACTGGTTTTTGACTAAATTTGTATGTGTATCATTTATTCTTGGCATTTGAGGATTAAACACAACAGGAAATTCTGTTGATTTATGTATCCTATTATCACATTTGCCTTATCTTTCATATTCTAAGGAAATGTATCTAGTTCAATTGATATTATGTATTATTGGTTCATTTTTCTTGTTTAATTGACCAGATGACTAGACCATTGATTTGTAAATTCTATTTAAACAAGAGTTACTGAACTTGTGTATAGTTCTCTAGTCTGTTACTTAGTCAAAGGGAGGTAACTCATTTAAACAGTTACAAAGAAAATGAGAGATGGTTGTTTGTATTGTTCTAATGAATAAGATTTTATACCAGATATTTTGTTAATAATACAATGATATTTATTATTGATGGAAATTTGTTATTTTATAAATTAAAGTAGAAAAATAGAAAGAAGTGTGGATATGTATAGGCTTAATGGTTATAATGGTTAAACAATAACATCTGTGCCAATAATAATTGAATTTGTGAGAAATTTGAAGTGAAACATTGGTATGTTGAGAATCTGAAATATAAACATTCATTCCTTCATTGATATTTCTTATATTTATTTGTGTGAAAGAGATAAGTATTGTACTTTAAATTGTCAAAGTAAGGGATCTGTTTGAGTACTGTAGTATGTAACTGTTGATGTTTGATGATCATCAACAATAAACAACTATAAGTGTACCATTTTGTGTTGTATTTTCCTTTTAATGTTGTTTTCTTTTTGTACATTGGAGCCATTTCAATCCTAGCAGTAAAGAGTGATTCAGTTAACTGAATGATTTCAAAAAGAATTTGGAAGCAGTCCATTCTACTTTACATTTGAGGTATCCATACTGATGCTGCATATGTCAACACAGATCACAGCTGGGTCAACAGACTGATGACAGCTGGGTCAGCAGACTGATGCTGCATAGGTCAACAGAAAGATCACAGTGGGGTCAACAGACTGATGACAGCTGGGTCAACAGACTGATGCTGCATAGGTCAACAGAAAGATCACAGCTGGGTCAACAGACTTATGCTGCATAGGTCAACAGACAGATGACAGCTTGGTCAAAAAGACTGATGCTGCATACATCAACAGAAAGATCAAAGCTAGGTCAACAGACTGATGCTGCATAGGTCAACAGAAAGATCACTGCTGGGTTAACAGACTGAAGACAGCTGGGTCAAAAAACTGATGCTGCAAAGGTCAACAGAAAGATCACTGCTGGGTCAACAGACTGATGACAGCTGGGTTAACAGACTGATGACAGCTGGGTCAAAAAACTGATGCTGCAAAGGTCAACAGAAAGATCACTGCTGGGTCAACAGACTGATGCTGCAAAGGTCAACAGAAAGATCACAGCTGGGTCAACAGACTAATGACAGCTGGGTCAACAGACTGATGCTGCATAGGTCAACAGAAAGATCACAGCTGGGTCAACAGACTGATGCTGCAAATGTCAACAGAAAGATCACAGCGGGGTCAACAGACTGATGACAGCTGGGTCAACAGACTGATGCTGCATAGGTCAACAGAAAGATCACATCTGGGTCAACAGACTGATGCTGCATAGGTCAACAGAAAGATCACAGCTGGATCAACAGACTTATGCTGCATAGGTCAACAGACAGATGACAGCTTGGTCAAAAAGACTGATGCTGCATACATCAACAGAAAGATCAAAGCTAGGTCAACAGACTGATGCTGCATAGGTCAACAGAAAGATCACTGCTGGGTTAACAGACTGAAGACAGCTGGGTCAAAAAACTGATGCTGCAAAGGTCAACAGAAAGATCACTGCTGGGTCAACAGACTGATGACAGCTGGGTTAACAGACTGATGACAGCTGGGTCAAAAAACTGATGCTGCAAAGGTCAACAGAAAGATCACTGCTGGGTCAACAGACTGATGCTGCATAGGTCAACAGAAAGATCACAGCTGGGTCAACAGACTGATGCTGCAAATGTCAACAGAAAGATCACAGCGGGGTCAACTGACTGATGACAGCTGGGTCAACAGACTGATGTTGCATAGGTCAACAGAAAGATCACAGCTGGGTCAACAGACTGATGGTGACTCAGTCAAGAGACTGATGGTGTCTGTAGCTTGGTCTACATACTGATGGTGTCTGGGTCTACAGACTGATGGTGTCTGTAGCTTGGTCTACAAACTGATGGTGGCAGGGTCAACAGATTGATGGCGGCTTGGTCTACAGATTGATGGTGTCTGTAGCTTGGTCTACATACTGATGGTGTCTGGGTCTACAGACTGATGGTGTCTGTTGCTTGGTCTACAGACTGATGGTGGCTTGGTCTACAGACAGATGGTGTCTAGCTTGGTCTACATACTGATGGTGGCTGGGTCAACAGACTGATGGTGGCTTGGTCTACAGACAGATGGTGTCTGTAGCTTGGTCTACATACTGATGGTGGCTGGGTCTACAGATTGATTGTGCCTGTAGCTTGGTCTACAGACAGATGGTAGCTTGGTCTACAGATTGATGGTGTCTGTAGCTTGGTCTACAGACTGATGGTGGCTGGATCAACAGATTTATGGTGGCTGGGTCCACAGACAGATGGTGGCTTGGTCTACAGTCTGATGGTGGCTGGGTCAACAGACTGATGGTGTCTGTAGCTTGGTTTACATACTGATGGTGGCTGGGTCTACAGACTGATGGTGTCTGTAGCTTGTTCTACAGACAGATGGTGTCTGTAGCTTGGTCTACATACTGATGGTGGCTGGGTCAACAGACTGACCACAGCTGGATGAATGGTACTCCACTTATTTATCATGGTTTAAATGTATTACATACTCTTTAGGTTCACTGTAAATATTAATATAAAAACAATTCATTTCCATCCCAAAGAAAGGCCATCTTTGTTAATCAATAGCACTTGAGAAATTTCCCTAGCAAATGTGGTCACTGTCCGTCATATTACTTCTGTACAAGTCGTTAATGGTTAGTTGCCAGGTGTGCCAATTTGATCTGCTTTCTAGCACATTCTTCAAAATAACACACTCTGATATAAACTCAAAGCTTTGCCTGGTAATAAGCCCATCTCTATCTACTGGTGTTGAGCAGAGTTACAAACCAAAGCTGTTTCATTGCCCAACAATAAAACCATCCAGTGACTTTACATGAGAATTTGTATGATAGGTCTCTGATGGGATAAAGAAAGTATTTTATCTGCTAGACTTGGGTATGGTCAATCACAAGAAAACTGCAAATATAAATGATTTGTGATTTTATTTACAAACAATACAACCTAATTGACTCAGTCTTAAGCAAGAAATGATGTATTGCATGTCGGTCTCCTAGTAACACAATAACAAAGGAACATATGTACTAAATAAAAATTACAGCCACAGTACTCAACCAATCACTAACTCACATTTACACCTCAAATCAGCCAATTAGGAGTTAGAATGCACAACATGTGATTCATCTCCATAACAACTGAATGACCTTGTGCCATATGAACTTATATTTAAATCATTTGAGAGTATAATGATTTCCATTAATAGACAGATCTCATTACTAATACATAATCAATAATGACTGTAACTTTTAGATGAAATGGTATCGAAATATTTCAATGGAATTTCACTGTTTCTCACAGTTATTTTGAAAATGACCTTTTTACATCTGATCATATACTAGTTTAATCTATTCAAACAATTTTTTGACATTTCACAGGAATTTCAAGTTGATGATAATGCTTTTCCGTTCAATAGTTAAGCAATGAAATCTTTTTTTGAAATGAAAACTGCAACAGCAAATTGATTCCATGAAACTTGTATATGATATTGACTTGAATTTAAAATGACGAAAATATGACAAAAACAACAGATATGATGAGGACAATATCCAAGTCTTCAGAAAGTGACAAGTAACACATAAGATATATCAAATCCCTACTTTTTACATAGTTATATAGTATTTAATGTACAATCCTCATTTTAATTGGAAGGTCAACTGGCTGCTTGTGACTTCTGTGGTGATTTTCATTAATGTTTTAATTAAACCTATACAGCATTTTGTCAATTTCAATTTTAGAAAAAAAAGCATGAACTTTTTATTTGAACTTTTTGGATTAGATAATTGATGACGAATAAATTTTTGACTTCTTTTTGATTCAATTGAAAAAGAAAATGAAATAAGCGTTATAAATCTTCCCTACATGGTAAGCCAAGCAAAATTTTAAAAATGTTTTATGATAAGCACCTGCATTTATCTGTTTTATTTTGTTTAAATAAATAATAACAAACAAAATGACACCCTTTTGAAAATGACATATTCCTAAAGACTTGGATATTTGTAATAATGAATTACATAATAATATGACTCTTGATTTCACTGAATCAACGACATCATGACAAGTCAACTGGAATGACATAAATATAGAAACATGATTTAAAACGTATCTAGAACACATCTACATCATGAGATATAAATAATAAAAAGTGTCACCCTGTTGTCATCAATAAGCACTACCTTTTGGTGCCCCAGCTCAGTGTCCAATCAAGACAAAGATCTGGTGGGCAGGGCCTCATCTCTAGCCAAAACAGTGGGGTACACAAAGGGTGATTTGTTAAAAAAACAAAAAAAATAAACAAAGCTCTGACATATTTCACAAATTGCTATGTACACGATTAAATCACAAATTCAGTTGTTTTCAATACCATTTGTTTCTAGCTATTTCTATATATATTAGATATTTACGATACGTACAGCTTTCTATCTTTCTACTGTACAAAGCTAGATGAATGCAGTTGCTCTCCTGCTGTGTAAAAAGGCAAAATAAATGCAAATTTGGTTAACTTTTGTTTGTACATCTCTCATTTACAAGCTCATGCACACGCGATTGCCATTGTATAAAAATATAACCCCAATCACATCCGACCTCTCGAGGTCATGTTGATATTGAGTACGACTTGATACCTGATCAAATCCATCTTGGAACACAAAATTTTAACTTCCTTTACTTTTTAGCACTTTTTGCATTACAGCAGGTTTGGGCTGAATCTTTTTGATTTTTTTTTTGCCGTTTTCTAAGATGGTTGTTTTTAAGACTTGACAGAAGGATATTGTAATTCAGATCTGATGTTGGCCATTTGAATTAATTTTTTCATAACAACAGATATACCGTCAGTGTTCCAGGATGGTTTCCATCTTTCTTGGACATAAGTCATAATATTAAGTTTCAATTAAAGTCACAACCCAAAGATATTTCGATAAACTCATTAACTTGCATAAATTCTTATTTTCATATATAAATGATATGCTAGAATTGTGAATGAGACATGATATCACTTTTTTTCGTATCTGTTTTCTAAAAAGTTAAAAAAAAAAAGTCTTCATCCCCATCAAAATGAAATGGTAATTGTTCAGGATTTCCATGTAACATATCAGAATATATGTCAATAATCATCCATGCAATGTCTGAGCTTTTACACCCTGAATACACATTACATATTTTAGTTTTTTTATGTATTTTTTATATAAAAGTCTATGTTTGTACAAATATTTCAAAAGTGTTCAGTGAAGTCTTAACATACTCAAGTGCACAGCATTCATGGCACTGAAAAGTTAATACAAAGATATCATTCTCACTGACCATTTTTGTAAAAAACTGTACATAACTACTGTGATTTATACAAGTTAAGTAAAAATTTGTGGGGAAAAAAAAAAAAAACAAAAACAAGAACAAATCAAAACAAATACAAAGGGTCCTTACATAAAACAGCTGACATCACAAGAGTTAATGCTAGCAAATATATATTGTACATACCTCCACTATACAATATACTATACATGTGTCCACTGTGGGAAATACATAATGTACAATATATTATATCTCCAGTGTGGGGTATATAACATAATATATTGTACATACCTCCACTACTGGGGGTACATACTTTCAGTGGCAAAAGCTCTACTTGTAAATAAAGATAGTTATGTACAAAAGCTCTGTTGGTATTCTGTCACAAGTTGGAGTTAATGTAGAGAGCATTCATATTTTACATCTGGTGGTGGTTGAAGTTTTCATCAATAGAATATCTTTACATTTATTAACAAACTCAAAACTTAATAAGCAAATTTGTCAAAACAACAATTAAAAAAAAAACAAAAAAATGAAGTTACCATGTGTTTCTTTTGGAGGAGGGAGGGGGTTAATTCTACAAAAACATAATTAAAAATGATAATTTAAAACATTCTTCCAAAGGTTACAAAAAGCATGCTAATTCAATCACAAGATAATTTCAGAAGGTAGAATATTTTGGACATGGGAATCACTCTAGTATTAATAGACACATAACAGAGATCATTGTCCATACATCTACACCTATTTGGTCGTTCTATGGTTATTATTTATGGTTAAAAAAAAAAACAACAAAAAAACAAATATAATTGTTTTTTCAGCTTTAAAAATGGCATCTTAAAAACTAGCTATGAAAATGTCAGCATCTATATAATATAGAACGTATTGCACCTTTCAAATTTTACAAATAATCTTTTATTTTTACCAAGCAATGAACAACAAGGGAGGAAGTTTACAACATAAAGAAGATAAAATTCATCTTTATAATCAAGATGTATGTATAATCTTAAGTCCGGCCCCATTCTGTTGAGATCCTTTGAAGAAGGTTCCCCAAGGACTTCGCTGTGTTTTATGTAAATTCTCAGTTTGCTTGCAACAGTCAAGTCATTGAATACAAATGATAGTAAGCAGCATTAAAACTGATAAAACTTTGCTGAATGCAAAAATGCAAAGGCATTGATTACAAGGAATTAGGACACATATAGTAATTTAGCACTATGATTGTTTTCAATAACACACAACGTTGTAATGGAACAATATATATATCCCATAACTTATTCTTCTAATTTCATTTTAAATGGAGATAACACTATTGTCTCAATAACATTCTTCATATACACATGATAATGGCACAACTGAAACAGTTGATCAGTTCTCACCCCCCTCCTTAAGAACGCCTTCATACAAGTTATAACAAAGGGGAGACAACCCAATATTATAATTCCCAATGCTTTTGAACACGTTTATGGTTATATATGTGTGTAAGATAAAAACCTTTGCAATGACTGGAATTAAATACAATCAATTTAAAAATAATGATCAATATGCTGTTCCTTGTATCACTAACACTTTCAGCGCTCTTTTTCTTCCTGGAGAAACAGGGGCAGATAACTGATGTGATCAAGGGCAGATAACCCTTACCCACTCCTAATTAGGCAATGTATCTTTGATACACTTAGAGTGTTTGTAGGAGCACAAAGGTGTTAATCAATTTCTGTATCATCAGAAATAAGTCAATTTTATGATAAAACATTTATAAATAAGAATTATTATGGTAATACTATACATATAGCTCTTCTCTCCATGGATTTCATCACTATCACAACAGAGGTGAGTATGAACGGACTCACTCGAGTACTTGTGTAATTCAGATCATCTAAACGCTATCTTTTATCACAATTCCATTCGTATGACTATATGGCAACTGATGTGTCAATTTCGGTGATGCATGACATCAGAAAGGGTGCAATGATGATAGGGTCCTAGCACCTGTCATTTCAGGCGGGCGAGTTCACCTGCCACTCCTCTCTTTAAGATTGGGACAGCCCAATCATCACCTATCCCAATCACCAAATCTGTCTTTGGTTTCGTTGAAAGGAAGTCCACATTTCCCCGTGTTGCACCAAACATGATTGATCCGTTTCACCGGAAAGTTTGAATGACTAGTATTTGCACTGGGTCACAACCTTGAAACATATGACAAACCCAGATTTAGAATACATTCTTAGGTAGTATTCAAAATAATTATTGTGATCAACAAATTGGCACCCTTATCTGGTTCATCATTTCGTCTTTTGGGTTGTAACCCATGTTTTTCCTCTGCAAGAACATATGTATTTCTCTGTAGGAAGGGCGATAGCATTCGTTCCTGTTCCAGCACTCGTACATAAGGTCAAAGATCTCCTTGGGGCAGTTACTTGGCTGCGGTAGGTACACCTCTTTGTTATCGTTACGGTAATAGTGTCCAGCGTTCTCAATCACCTGCTCATCAGTCAGACTGTCAAAGGGCTGGTCCTTGGCGAAGGTTAGCACTTCCCACAGCGTCACAGCAAATGACCACACGTCACTCTTGGTCGTGAATTTACCCTGGAAACAAGGTTTGTAGAGATGAAAACACTACTATACAACAAAATATCCAGGTAGATGTCTTGTTAAATCCTTGAAATTCCTCCGACAATACAGTGATCAATCAAAGGTCATAAACTTTCATAAAATAAGCGTTTGACACTGTTAATATAATTTACTAGTAATAATTTAAAAGACAGGTTTCAAGATTAAGATGAAAAAAACATATCAACACACGATAAGATTTATATAGAACTATATCTATTTTACATACCAGTAGGATACTCTCCCACGCCATCCATCTAATGGGTAGTACAGCACGACCCTCAATCCTGTAGTAGTCGGAACTGTACAGGCTACGACTCATACCAAAGTCAGAAATCTTAATGGTGAAGTTGGTCCCCACCAAACAGTTACGTGTCGCCAAGTCTCGGTGAACCATGTTTAGAGATTCCAAGTATTTCATTCCCGAAGCGATCTGGGAGGCCATGTAAATCAGACAGCCGTAGCTATGAAGAGAAAAGAAAATTATTTATAATTTCTGCTTTTGTATACTTTCATATTTCATATCATGAATCTTATGATCACCTTCTCTACCAGATCATTCTTAGTCAGCAGATTTCAATCAGTAGATATTGATATCCAAATCTAATTCGTTTAGACATCACAAAACATTTAACATTTGTTTATATTCTCATTCAGATTTTTTTGTGGAAGTTTTTAAAAATACTTTTGATCCAAAAATTAACATAAAATTAGAAATAGCTTAGATATGGCTATAATTACCTCAGGGTCTTGGCATTGGTTGCCTGGGCAACTGGGCTTTCTGCTTCATGGTCCAAAAGAAACTGGTTTAGGTCTCCATACTTCATGTACTCAACAATCATACACAGTGGCTCCTCATGGGTACACACGCCGAGTACACGCACAATGTTCGGGTCCTTGAGTTGGGACATAATCTTAATTTCCTTATGAAAGTCAGACCTGTTTGATAAAACAACATCATTAACCATTTATCTAAAGTCTCTGTTGTGAAATTTGTATGAAAAAGAGAATTGATTAAATTACTTATCACTATCATAATCATGTTTTTTTTCCATGTTTGAACATTTCTTCTTCCCTTTTTTACTCCCAACCTGAAGTTCTCTGAAGTCTAGAAAATGTCTGTAGGACATGAGGTTAATCAGTGCTATCCTTTGGCAATGTCTATAATTAGAAACAGTGACCTTAGCCTTGAGCTTGGAGCCTTGAGATATGAAGTTTTGACTCCCCATCCCACAGGTATTCTTTTTGATAAGATTTGTTAAGAAATGAAGTGAACACATGGTTGGTCAGAGGTAATGAAAATACATTAAAGGGAGCATACTTATTTACAAGTATCAAACCATATTTAGATATTCTGTAATGATTGTGTGTGACAGGTAATGTGAACTGTAGTGACTTACCTAGCTCGGTCATCAGCATTCCTCCTCAGCATCTTCACAGCAACTAACACTGGGCGAGAACTGGTCCGGTTTCCAAAATATTCGTCATTAATGAACTCCCCACAGTTGATGGCCTCACACAGATGAACCTGTTGATCAGGAAGACAATGATATATAAATAATTAGGTAGCTATTCCTTTATCACACATATACAATTAATCAAGCTCTCTTCCTTTATTTAAGTTTCTGAAAATCACAATAGACACCCGGGAATCACTCCTTTTTACATTTCATCTTTTTTACAGGGACTGATTAAGTGAAAAATGTTTCTTCATCAAGCCACAAATCTTATTTTGTAAAATTTTTATTCTATTAATTCTACTTCAGAAATGGAAGCAGCAATGGACAAAATATGTGGATATAGTTCAAGCTTTGCAAAGAGGAAACAGACCAAAAAACCCCTTACCTCACCAAACTGACCCTCGCCGAGAACTTCAATGAACTGTAGACTATCTCGGGGGAACTGCATGACAGAGTGTTCTAGAGACAGAAGGAGTTCAGCATTGGGAACAGCATACACATTGTTACCACTAACACCCTGTAGACTTGGGATGTTGGGCACCTGCATGTTGTTGATTACGTCAGCTGCCGCATACAGGGCATCGTATGTCGGAGGCTTGTCCAGGGAATTGGTCATCAGGGAGGGTGTGCCCCCGGCTGATTTAGGGGTGGCATTGCTCCTCAGGGGAGGTTGAGGGGGCTGGGGTGGAAGGGCTACCACCAAAGCAGACTTTGTCACATCAGGTACGGCATAGTCTCGAGAATCTAAGGAAGTAGATGAAAAAGTTACAACATGCTTTAATTAAAGTGTTACATTTTAATGACTGTGGACTTAATTAAAAAAATTGAAATAAGCATAAAACCTGCTTATATTATAAATTTATAAATTTTCCCATTTAAAAATATGATACAGAAAAGCAATGTTAGGTATTGTTGTTGTAGAAATATTTTTTTTCTGTTGTGGTATGGAAAATTCTAAAACTAAAAAATATTTATTTAACAGGTTTTATGTCCACTATTTCGGCCATTTGGCAGATAAGGATGGTTAATAAAATATACATGAGTATCTATAGAATAACATGTCCTTCACACCATAGAGAGATTACAAATTTATATATATGGTACACCTACATATATATACACCTACAAGAATACATATATATTTTCTACTTCAGGGTAATGAATTTATAAGGACAATAAAAAAAATCGTAAAAGCTTCATCTATCAAATGCATTAAATATTGAAAGTTTTGTTTTTTCTTTACTGAAGATAAGTTTTAAAGAATAATATAATTTATCAGATGTAGCTATGGGAGATTTATAAAATAAACACCTAAATATATTACTTTTTTTTCTCCTAAGCCTTATAAATCAGGTGTTTCTGGAGGAAAAAAAGTACACACTGTTGAAATTAAAGCAGTATGCAAAAGCTTTATAGCATATTTGTAGAGTAAATATTTCCATGAAGCAATGGCCAGTTGTCAACTTTATTATGACTGATTAAAACCATAATTATTCACAAGATTGGAAGCTGGCATTTGAAAAATCCTGGATATGTTGAAGTGACAGAAAGTGAAGCATTGAATTGCATTAATAAAGAACAATATATATGTAGCTGTATGAAAAGAAGTCAATTAATTAATTCTTAAAATCCATTCCATACATATCACAAAGAACACAAGTCTTAAAACATTCTACTGTGTCTGAAGGGGAGGTAGGGTATACAGGGGATGGAACAGCTAAATGGTATACATTGGTCTCCTCTGTAGCTTGTTGAACATTAACCCTGCCTTCAACCTCATCTACATGCAAACTTTACAACATTGCATCATTTACATTTCTGTTCGTTGGAACACAGGAATACCATGGTCAAAGGGAAGTAACTCAAAGAATATCTGAGGATTTTTTTATCATTACACATTCATTCCATCATAATGAGCTTACAACATCCAGTTTAAAGCAGATAAACTACAAGCCAAGCAAACACTGCATTCCTTTATCTCTTCCATCCATTTCAAATTACAGGGTCCTCTTTCAGAAACCAACTTAACAAGGAGGGTCTCATTCTCCTAACAATTCATACAATATACAGGTTCTATACACATCAGGAAGTATCCTTTGAAGATATGGCACCAGGAATTTACTACATAAACCATTCAGAACACATGCTTATCTTTTCCTCTTGAAGTAAAAGAAGAGGTGTTCCAAATAGCAAACATGCTTCACAACACCAGATGTCCTTAATTATTTCTAGGTCTTGATCAAATAAATTCTACACCAACAATCACATTTTTTAAAATCAAATATGAATATTTGACGAAATGAAGCTTTAAAGAATTTGCTGTGATTGGGGTCTTGTAAATGTAATATTATTATGGAATTTGTGAAAACTACCATGGAGAGGTTTACACAGTTAAGTTACACACAGGTCAGGGTTAAGTATGAGTATGGCTATATTTAGTAATGAAGGTTTAATATCTCTGTAGGATTTTTAATTTCTCTTAAATATTTTAGTTAGAAAATGTGAAATTCACGAAAATGGACTTTAGAAACAATTATTATAAATTTTTTACAAAATCATTGGTTTTTGTTTTAACGGTTAAATAATCTTTAAGATAATTAACATATAATACTTTAACAAAACCCAAACAAATTTGAAAATCCAAAATGAATGAATGAGTTTTACAATAATGAAGTGTCTACTGTCAATGCAGAACTCCTGAGTAAAGAGATATTGGTTTGTTGGGAGCAGATGAAGGCAGTATATTTAGGGGCAGGCATTACATCCCATAATATCTGGTAAGCAGTATCAGGCGAATCCACATGGCACCCTCGACATGCGCTGGTATTGAGATTAGACCAATGTATACCTGTTCCTTCAGACGAACTCGGGAAGTCAGGGAGTTCTCTCCCTTGTATTGAATCTTTGGGATCCAAGTATGGACAGGAAGGAGTTGGGCTCTTACATAATTTTTCACCGCCGTTGCAGAGTTCTCGATCTACATCCATTTCGTCAGTGGCTACACTGTTGTAGACGTTTCCGTTAGACACTTTGCCATTGGTGTTGCCTTGAAGGTCACTGAGATTGACAGCGATGTGTCGTTCAACAGCCGGCTTCAAGCTGCGACGGTTGTTGTTTTGTTTCATTCTCTTATGTCGGATAATGAAAGTGATAAGAACGACAAAGAAAACCAAGAGGAGACCACCTAGGGCACCGATGATAATTCCAATATGATCGTCTTTCATGGTAGCCGTTTCCTTTGTTTCAGGTTGATCATTACGGTCATTCCTATCTGTGCCTACAAAAGTCAAAACAAAATATGAAAAAATTCAGACACAATAATTCTATTTTTTTTTTTAACTTTTGATTTTTTATTTAAATATCAGTATTTTCTTTGAGACAATTTGATATTTTGATGCTGTACACTGAGGGCCTTTATTATCATCAATTTTCTAAAAACGTTTTCAGTGAACTAAACGGTAAAATAAAATTTTAAGTATTAAGCACATGACCTAGGTTGTCACAGAAATCTAGCATCTTTACAAGAAGATTCTATATTGCAGGCCTACTGACTGGTACTAGACATGCAATATAATCCTATAGATTTTATGAGAGATGTTAATTGGTCGCAGTCTTAATCAGAAAATTAGGAGTGTAAGTGAGTCGATGACGACTGCCGTGAAAGTTGGACGTTAGTTAGCGTTAGTGATTATAGAACTGTTAGAAAGTGAGGTGGTCTGGTCCAGTGACTTTCTTAATTCTCAACAAGAAAAAATCATCAATTAAATTCATTATTAATTTGTAGAGGAGAGACTGTCCAGTTGGCGAGAAACAGAATATATCTTACCCACATCAATCGTTGGCTTATGAAAATTGATATCCTGATTTGTATCAGAAGAATCCAAGGTCTTGGATTTGCTTGTAGTGGGAGTGAATGTTGTAGGGGGAGGAGCTTCCATTGTGAAGTTCCCATTGGCTGGTTCTGTTATAAAGATATAGCTGATATTAAACCACTGCTGACAATATGAAAGTTCTACTGAAAAAATATTTAAATCCATAGCAAACATTAAAACATTATTGGTATAACTGAGTTTTTGAAAAATAATTTGAAGAATTTTGCCCTTGACTTTTGTCTAGATGGCACTAAAATCATTTTTACAGATACTAATCTATTCAGAATGTCTTTTAGATAGAAGATCTGTCTCAAAACAAATAATTTCTAATCGAAATAATACTGAAAACTAACAATTAAATACCATATTAAGTTGAGAGTTTCGTCAGTGTTCTGTGTGAAGTTCTAAAAACCTACCAATGGTATTGCAATAGATTTGGGTAATGAACGAATGTAATCACTTTCACTGTACTTACCTGAACATCTGACAAGTGTTATTTCTTATCTATGTGGGTTAACCTAAGTTAGTTCATCTCTCCTAATGGAACAAATACTATGATGAAGAAGTAAGTCTTACATAACTATGAAGTAACAGGACACTAGTAAGAATTGTATACAACTATTGAATGATACTGGACTTGAAAACTAAAATTCTAACAATCTCGGTCTTCTAAAATCACTTCTGACCGTGCAGCTTCACATATAAAATATAGTGCAATCAGTGGAAACAAGTTCATTATTAATTTTCAAGTGAGTGAAGAATCTGATCATTAGAACATCTCACATGATCAGATATAAAATAAAAAAAAGGTTAGTAATCCCAGTTAACTTTAAAAACTATTTGACTTGTAAATAAACTACACTAAAAGAACTGTCAAAATTTTGCTATAACCATTTTAAAAACATCTACTGTAAAACTAGTACAGACACCACAAACATTGCCCTCCTGTTAAGTTGGTGTATCAGTGTGATTTATACTACGGAGACAAAAGTGAGAATAACAAGTAATTACATGTAGATTAATCGTTCGATTGTGATAGGGATGTCAGTACAATACTACAATAAATCACATATAATTACTCCACTGGACTAATGTAGAAAGGAATTTGAAGCAATTTCCGAAAATTTCCAAAGAAATCTGATGATGTAGTAGACTTTGTAAGTTGAATGGTCAGTTTTGCACCATTATCCACAATATATTAGAGAGAAGGTGAGTGGTCAGTTCTAAAAATTAAGATTATATACAGCAAGTCTTGTCCATTCACCCCCTATTAGAGAGTAGGTAAGTGGTCAGTTCTAAATTTAAAGCTTGTCTACATGGTCAGTTTAGTACCTTCATCCTTTTTTAGAAAATTAAAGTGACCAATGGTCAAGTTATAATGATTATTCTTACCTGAAACAAACTTGACTTCACTGATCATCATCCACTTGGCATCAAAGTAGAGGACAATCTTGACAAACTTTCCAGTTGTGTGGTTGAGGCTAATCTCAACGTTCCGAGCATATTCCATCCAGGAGTCCCTCTGAAAATCATAAACTACTGGTGGCCCAGAAAAGTATTTGCCTCCCACACTGAAAAAGATCTCAGCCCTTCTAAACACTCTTACATCTTTGTTAAAGTAGTTATTACAATGAAAAATCACCATGGAAAAGTTCCGGATTTGGTCAAATTTGAAAACAATTTCAATAGGCATGGTGGCATGAGTGTCATTCTTCCATCCAACCCACTCATACCCTTTGATTCCAAGGCCTCTCTGGTCTAAACGGAAATTCCCTGTACCTTCATCTCCATCAGTCAGTTGTCCTAAACCTCCAGAAAGGTAATTTTCATTGAAGATTCCATCATAGGTGAAATCAAACAGATCCACCTCTGATCCTCGTTTGTCCCCTTGAGGCATCGTGTATGCAACTACGCTGTCTGTAACAACAAATAAGTTTATAATCAATTTAAATGATTATTTTTGCATAAAAACACATAATAAATCAGGGTTTTTTTTCAGTAAGAGTTATCTTTCTTGTCCCTATAACACACATCACCAAGTTTGTTTCATTAAAATTTTGTAAAAATATATTAGAAGTGATTTCCCGCAGTGACAAGTGTTTTCTTACTACTTTCATCTTCTTGTCAAAAACCAAGTGATCAGAGAAGCAGGTAATCAACAGATGTTATGGCAGTTTTCTGCTTGGACAGAAGAACTAATTGACTAGTCCCAATCTGTTGATGTCGTTCATGAACCAAAATATCTGTCTAATGAAAGAAATATGAAACTCCTGAAACAATGAATAAAAGGGACCAATCGGATAGTCTAGCCCAGTCAGTTAGAACCAGTTTTCTGCAATAAAAATTTACAATATGTTTTTTTCATTAGTTCCTACATCATTATTACCCGATTGGCATTTCGTTCTCAGGCAGCGGAGAATATTTGTTTGTGATCAGAGCTGTGTGGTGGAGAAGAGATTTCTGTGAATTTTGATCACAGAATAAAAAATCCATTACAAGCTAGGTGGTCAATCTTGAGAAATCGTTAAAATCCTGCTAATTTCAATAGCTATTTTTAAACTCACGAATGAAAGAAATTTACCTATATATTGTAAATATAACAAAATTAATTATAAGAATACTGGTAACTGATAATATTGATGAAAACTGATTCTATAATGGTATTGATTTAATCTTCTATCTAAACGATGATAAACTTGGCAGAATTCAGATTGGGGTTGAACTCCTGAATATGGTCTTACATATATTCACAGTTGCTTCAAATGATTCAGACCAACATCTACCGTCTTGAAGTAAATAAAAACAGATACAAGACAAATCTTTAGATTTTGTAAAAAAAAAAAAAAAAATAGAAACTTTCACATACTTACCTCCATCAGTATATTTAAAATATTGCCGAGTCCGTTACATATTCATAGCCGTATATTCATACATTAACAACATATTGCTTAGCTAGTGGAATTATGTTAATTAGTATTGTTAGTCTCTTAGGATGTTGATGATGATGATGATGATGATGATAAATAGGAAAAAAAATCATCTACAAGTAAATATGTACATGAATAAGTTTCATGTGACAACAGAGCAGCAAATTATGATTAAAAACAGTATATGTTTGCTGCAGTAAGTGATTTCTAGTACAAAATCACAATATATACAATGTTTGATTTACATTTTTAAATTCATGAACAATGCAAGATGTTTTAGGTGAAGATATTCTTATGACGGCTCCTTTCATATAAATACCTAGAAAAATATCCTAACATCATACGCTACCAGCTGAATAGGAAAGTTGTTTCATATACAGATTTTGGAAAATTAGAGCAAAGCAGCATATCTATATATATATCATAACCTAAAAGGCAAAGTGCTACATGTTAAACTATAAGAAAATTACTCCAAATCTTATTGGGTACGAAAAGATATAGAATATAATTTCCTGGCCTGATCTCTGGTGTATATACAGGAAGGTATATACTTTTTTCCCCACTTTAACCCCATTGGCTAGATTACTCTGTCTGCCATTTCACCATTACAAGTACTCAAAGAGCTGCCAATGTTAACCTAATCTCTGACTACTTATGTAAGTTATAAATTTGTAAATATATTATAAGAAAGACTTCACACTGTTAGAAACTAATGTTTTGACTCATAAAACAGATATAATCAGCCGTTAGGACCTCGATATCTGTAGTTAAATATGTTTGTGAGTTCTACATTTGTAAACATATTAGAAAACAACCTAAGAGTTGCTATAAAGTGATGTTTTCGCTCCTAACATTGATATTTTCATTATGGTACCATCGTCAAACCTCCGACATCCAATTTTCCGCCACCAGGCTAAAACCCTTCACTAGTTAGTGCTTGAGATAATATTTTATGCTCAGCATTTTTGTATCGGCGAGGTCTTGATAACTGGTGATTTAGCCATAAAACATCAGTGCCTGAATCATCATCATATTTTCTCAAGCATTTTACGTAAATTGTCAGTGTTGCCTAATGATAAATGTAATCAACCATCTTGTAATAGACAATTTTCACGAAAAATATTCTTAACTTCCCCGGCTGCGTAAAGGACTGGAATGTAAACTAATGTATCATAGTCGGGTCTGTGATTTTTTTCTGTGTAATTAACTACCGCGCTGATTGAATTTGAATATCAATTACTCGTGTTCTATGGCAGAATCAGGATGTGCAATGAATTTGTAAAGCAGTTAGAATTTGATATCATAAAGTTAGAGAGTTCCATCTTTTAATTTGAAGTTGATGGCATGAGTAATTTGAGCAATATATAAAAATTTTACAACTCTTTTTAAATCATCATGAGCAAAAATGAGATCCTGCTTTTAGCAGACAAAGCAATAACATTTTTATGACTGACAGGATGAAACATCAATGATTCTACACATTTACAGCCAATCATTACATCAATGTTACAGTGAAAACACAATATTCAAATATAAATAAACTATGATTTATATGAACATGACATATGTTTTGGATAATTGACCTTGTAAGGTTTTCATTAGTTTTATAACAATGGAAGCGTAATGGTTTTTTGAAATTAGAATCAGGAAATCAGAACACACAAGTTTCAACTTAACAATACCTAGTCATGCATTGTTTCCCTGGGGAAATTCTCCAGATCTGCTGTTTACTGTTATAGGTTTAAACTGTAAGTAATCACAGCATAATACATTCATGTCCTCTACTTCTATGTAGAATTTTTTTCAATCTACCTTGACCAAGTTGATTATCTATTTGATGTTCCTTTGTCTATGTGGGATTTTTGATAACAGGTAATGACTATTTTATCCTAACTGTAATGACTATCACTGGTGTTTACAATCAACTGTTCCAGATTCTATACCAGTCAGACTTCTAACTGTAATGACTATCACTGTTTACGATCAACTGTTTCAGATTCTATACCAGTCAGACTTATTCCATTGTATTTCCAGGTAAAACCAGTTCCTATCACAGAGAGGTATTACACAGTTTATCTCCCTTGATGAAATATCATCACAACTCTATCTGGTATCATTCTTTTCCTCGATATTTCTACATCAAATCTGTTCTTGGAGTGTATTACAGCATGAAAGAGACTGCTTTCACCAATCCTTCCCAAACTTCTCAAAAATTAACAATAGCAAAAGAGTGGAAGTTTTGTATATAAAATATTGGACTTTGCTTACCATTCCAGTTACATCCATAGAGCTCGACTCGCATACAGACAGTACGTGTGCGGAGACTGTAAGGAATAAATCGGATGCGTTTACAGATGATGGGCGGTGACACCTCACACACTTCCGCCAGGTAAGTATTTGTGTTTCCAGTAAATTGCTGCAAAATAGAAACATATTTTTTCTTAATTTTTACTGTATCAAAAAATAGATTTCTTATCAGACTTTCAATTAGTAAGAAAATCAGTACGTGAGGGGACTGGCTTATCATAAAACACTGGTATATCACTATGATGGAAATGGAGCCAACACAGAGGGCTGGAGGAGGATACAGGGTTATTGAAACAACAAAAAGAAAACATTTTAAAACAATTTATTCTTATAAAGAACTTGTTTAAAATAAAGAGTAGATTTGACAAAAATACTCCCAAAAAACATCCTTCTTGGAATAATTCCATTGATGTTTGTACAGATTCTAATCGTAGACTATCAGAGTATTTATCAAACAGGCAACACTATATTGGTTGAAAAGGAAACTTTACAGCAATTAGCCATGTAATAGTCTCCTAAGTGGATGCCTTACAAGTCTGACAAATGATGTAAACGTGAAGTTTTTGAAATAGAATGAAATTTCACAAAACTAATACCGTACTGCCAGAATGTAAAAAGTGCAGTTGAAATATAGCTTTATCACATAGTGATACTTGACAAAAATACGTTTGAACAAATCTAAATAGTCATCCTTCTTTATATCTGGTTCCTGACTACCAACCCTGGAATGTATTCACCAGAACGTCCAATGGTAAATGCCATTCACAGAGGTATGCATCAGTATAAACATTTCAATTCTACAATATCTTTTTTATCAAAACCTAAACTAACATAAACACACCAGTGCTAGAATTATCCTTTTTATCAAAAATACCCAATTATGTAAACATTTCCGCAATATGTGGTTAACTTCAACATTCCTCCCATTTTGAACACCTATTTATTTTGTTTGTAAGTTTACACTAAGAAAGAAATCAGATATGTTCAGGAAATCAAATGGACATCATCGACAGTATATTTGTATGGTAGATGGACATCACTGACAGTAGATTTGTATAGAAGACAGACATCACTGACAGTAGATTTGTATAGAAGACAGACATCACTGACAGTAGGTTTGTATAGAAGACAGACATCACTGACAGTAGAAGACAGATTTGTAGAAGATTTGTATAGAAGACAGACATCACTGACAGTAGATTTGTATAGAAGACAGACATCATGACATCATCGCGACAGTAGATTTGTATAGAAGACAGACATCACTGACAGTAGATTTGTATAGAGAAGACAGACATCACTGACAGTAGATTTGTATAGAAGACAGACATCACTGACAGTAGATTTGTATAGAAGACAGACATCACTGACAGTAGATTTGTATAGAAGACAGACATCACTGACAGTAGATTTGTATAGAAGACAGACATCATCACTGACAGTAGATTTGTATAGAAGACAGACATCACTGACAGTAGGTGTGTATAGAAGACAGACATCACTGACAGTAGATTTGTATAGAAGACAGACATCATCGACAGTAGATTTGTATAGAAGACAGACATCATCGACAGTAGATTTGTATAGAAGACAGACATCACTGACAGTAGATTTGTATAGAAGACAGACATCACTGACAGTAGATTTGTATAGAAGACAGACATCACTGACAGTAGGTTTGTATAGAAGACAGACATCACTGACAGTAGATTTGTATAGAAGACAGACATCACTGACAGTAGATTTGTATAGAAGACAGACATCACTGACAGTAGATTTGTATAGAAGACAGACATCACTGACAGTAGGTGTGTATAGAAGACAGACATCACTGACAGTAGATTTGTATAGAAGACAGACATCACTGACAGTAGATTTGTATAGAAGACAGACATCACTGACAGTAGATTTGTATAGAAGACAGACATCCTCGCGACAGTAGATTTGTATAGAAGACAGACATCACTGACAGTAGATTTGTATAGAAGACAGACATCATCGACAGTAGATTTGTATAGAAGACAGACATCACTGACAGTAGATTTGTATAGAAGACAGTAGATTTGTATAGAAGACAGACATCACCGACAGTAGATTTGTATAGAAGACAGACATCACTGACAGTAGATTTGTATAGAAGACAGACATCACTGACAGTAGATTTGTATAGAAGACAGACATCAGACATCACTGACAGTAGATTTGTATAGAAGACAGACATCACTGACAGTAGATTTGTATAGAAGACAGACATCACTGACAGTAGATTTGTATAGAAGACAGACATCACTGACAGTAGATTTGTATAGAAGACAGACATCACTGACAGTAGGTGTGTATAGAAGACAGACATCACTGACCAAATGTTTGTTGGAAGAGGGTGGGAATGAAGGATATCAAGGGGAAAAATGCTTCATTCCCATAGAATATTTGAGACATTTAGAACAGAATTTTAAAAGTTTGTTTTTAGCCACCCACTTTGGATCTGATATTGTTCCTGATGAAAACTGGACCGGCTTAGGTGACAGGGTAACTGGATAAATATACACATCTGTTGTAGGGAGGACAGCAGTAACGTATCCATCACCGGGAGGGGGTGGGGAGAGGGGTGAGGGGTGTAGCAGAGGCACACAATTTATTGATAAAACTGCACTGCAGCATATGGTTATGCAGATGATGTTGTTTTATTTATCATAAATTCACATTAAATCTTTCTTGTTTTGATAACTTATATTATGCCTTGTCTTCAGAGTCTTTGATCTTAACGAGATGGGTGTATCAGGTTTTTGTGGGGGTGAAAGAGGGAAGGCAAGTGGAGAGGAGGAAATGGGGGTGGATATCATGTTCACTGACAACCATTACTGGTACAAATATAAATGAACATTGATGATTTAAAACATTTACGTAACATTGTGGCTTTAACCTTGGAAACTGTATGGATCCAAATTTTCCTTTCCAAATTTTAAAATTTACATGAATCCTATTTCCTCAACTTCTATCTTAACAGTATACATTTATTTACTGAAAATATTTTTGACCAAATATTCTCACCTCTCGACCTCGTCGGTCCCTGAATCGTATCCATTCACCATCATCTTCTCTCTGGTACTCCAGTAAAAAGTGTTCAGCATATTCTTTCCCCTGAAAATTTAAACAAATATACATAAAATCATCTGCTACGTGAAATTTTCAAATTGGAAGACTTGCATGTTGGGTAAATCTATTTTCTGGACAGGTGAGCTAAGTTAAGCCACTGCATCAGTAAAGCTGAAAATTTGTGTTGAAATTGATTAAGCAATAATCAATATATAAAGTTCTCTGACCTTGCTTCGGAATTGTTTATCAATATGACCAATTATATATATCAAAAGTTTGATGACAGTAAACAAAAGGGCAGTCAGCTGATTGTGGTTCCCCTGAAAAAATCAACATGGCTGGCGGCCATTCAACTTTTAGACACATGGAAGTTAGATACCTCTTCCTAGTTTTGTTTAAATACTCTGAATGAAGAGGTTTAAAAGTACAATTCCATCAAATTCCATTATAGACATCTGTAGTACAATCAGAATATTCAGAATCAATGACCTTACTGCAAATACGATGACATCAAATAAATCTGCAGAAATATTTTGGATTCACTTTAGTTACACTAAAACTATCCTCCTGCACAAAAGAGTATTTTTTAGGGTGAACTGTGAACAAATATTGATATACATTTTCATGTAAATAATAATGTTTTATTATCAAATTCAATGGTATGCTCATGGCCCATTAGAAACATGGAAAATATTAACCTGTCTGTACAGTCAGAAAATACAATGAGACCCTATCAAACACGCATCACCCGGAGGAGATATCACCCCTGCTATTGTTTGTGTGCAGGCAGCCATATTGTTTCGTTTCTGCTCTCTGTTAGCTGCTGATTGCAACTTCATTAAACATTGATCTGATTGTAACAATGTGCATCTATAAAATTCTAAATGTAGTTCATAATGAATGTGTTTTTCATCAATATGTATCCCGGTGGAACATTTGGCTGATCTGAGGCTATGATACGTCATGTTGGACTGATCTGTTTTTATCGTTCTGCCTGATATATGTGTAAGTGGAAGTCTTTAAGTGCTTACATTTGACTTGTATGATACTGCACTATTGATGTACTTCAGTTTAGATTTATTCTAACAGAAAGTTTCAGATTTAATTCACTATTAATATTATTAATTTACTATTTGCCTTGAGAATTTAAGTTTCACCATCATTAAATTTTCAAAATTAAATTACAAAACTCTATTTTGTCCTCATCTCTGTGCCAATACTGCATAATCTAAACTCTATTCTAATGCTATTATAGTAATTCTTCCAAAGAAATAGAATAAAATGCAATTTCTGAAGATGACATTTACAGTAGTAACACATCAGTCTTTCTTTCAGTTCTTGTGGCGACACAAAAATTTGACTCGACCTGTTACTATAGATCTGTTGCACAGAAAAATGTATGTGTTTCCGCCTGTTTACACGTCTATTTCTACACTTCACATGTACTGTTAAAGTATTCCAAACCATCTGTTTATATCATCTTCATTAATGCTTCATGAATCTTAGTCTGAACTGTTAAACTGTGTACCTTAATATGGTAGAAAAGGGCTGGAGGAGGGGGAGGAGGGGGAAAGGAGAGGAGAGGAGGCAAGGAGGAAGAGGAACAAGGAGAAGTGGAGGGGACAGAAGGAGGGGAAAGGAGAGGGAGGAGGGGGAAAGGAGGGGAGGGGAGGGAAGGAAGAAAAAGGGAGAAAAGGTGAGAAGATGGAATTATGTGGAGGAGAGAGGAGAGGAGGGGCAGAGAGGAAGAAAAGAGAAGTGGAGAGGAGAGAAGAAAGGTAGGAGAAAAGAGAAGAAGGGAAGAAAAGGAATGAGGAAGAGAAGGGGAGAGGATGTGAGGAGGACAAATGAGGCAGATGGGAGTGGAGAGGAGGGGAGAATGAGGAGGAGAAAAGCAGCATAGAGAATCACTCGGTAATTCAGTCATGAATAAATGCAGGTCCATATGCTGAAACCTGCTTATCATTAATTGCAGTCTCATCAAAACTTTATGGGAGAGCAGCCATAAAAGGTAGTGCCAGATTGGTGTAGCATTGATAGGGAGGTTCCACATCACTGAACACAAAGGTAGATTTTTACCTGCATAAAAGTTGTACTTAATGCTCTTAATGTATTCCGATTAATTGGAAACAGAACCCGAAGGTCGCATAAGATTTTTATCATCAGTTCAGCATTAGACAAACAACTGGACAAAAATATCCTTGACAAGGTACAGGTAAACTACAGGTACCCAAGTTTAAAACTGAGGGAAGGTATGGCTGGTTAAGAAAGGCTGGTAGAATAAGTGTTAATGACATTTTCAAGGATATGATCAGAATTTGATATATATCTTAGGAAGTTCAAATGACAGGTTATTTGATATTAAATATCAAAGACTTCTTTTTTCGATTCAAACAAATTGATAACATTTCTTAAATGTGTAAACAAGTCCCATAACCACATGCATGACCTTCATTTACCCCTGAAATAGTTTGGTAGACATGAGGAATTATTAATTTACCTGGGTTTTTTACAATCATTACTAGATTAACTATACTTCCAGACCATAATGATTAATTCATATTTATTTCCAAATGCTTTTTTCTCTAATCAATATCTGAGCCGAAATCCTCAGTACACATCAATGTCAATATATCTGTTTCTTCTTTTCACTGTGTAAAACTTTAAGCATCAAAACGTTGCCAGAAATATGTAAGCTGATGCACAATACTTTTTTTCTTTCTCAGCTGAAAGGAATTTTGGCAAAAGCATAATATGGCGAGAAATTTCTTCACTTCTCATTTAAATTCACATGAAATGAGCTGTACACAATTATGTGTCTTTTGGCTGTAAATGTATAGAAATATGTCCACCCCAGGAATCTTATCCAATCAATAAGTAACCAAGTGCACACATGTAAACCCTCCTTGAACTGGACATGACATGAAAGATTCTATCTGACCCTGATATATGATTAAAGCTTCCCAATGAACCAACCGATCTCTATCATTTTCAAATTGAAACTAATTACCCAACTTGATTTGGCCTTCTGACACAATAGAGAGACTATCTTCGGAGTTTTCACAAGACTTCTATCTTGGGTCCGAGTAGGAATTTATTAAAACTTTGTATTGGACCATATTCATGCTTGTCGCTGAGGCATGTATTGGGAGTAATGAACCTTTGTGCACCTCTCCAGTGGCAAATCGGCCATGAAATTGTGAGATGAAATTCTGTTCAATTTCAACCGTAGGAGACTGTCAATCTCTCAACCAGATAAAATGTGATATGGCACCCTGTATACTCTTTTCATGTCCCATCTCATGAATGAATCAACCTTCGGAGAAAAAACCCAATCTGATGGCTCAACTGATCGTCTCAGGGATATTTCCAATATGAACAGTGTGCTCATGCAATCCAAATTTTATTAAAGCTGTATGGCGAACACAGATTCTTGTCTCCCTCAAAATCAAGTTTCTATCTTTTCTCTGCGAACCTTTGTTGAGATATTAATGTTATTATATAAAGTATACAGACACCCTGTATATATGAGAGAAGTTTAAACCTGCTCACTATTTAAAGTTATTTTGATAGCCTTATCCCTAAAATCAAATCTTCAGCATGAAAATGTCATTACAAAGACGTGTACATGTCTGATATAAAAAATTCTCATAGAATGCAATTCACTTTTGGGTCTGATAAGAAAAACCAAAAAAACCCAGCAAGTCTAGCTTTACTTTCATCAATAACTTTAATGAATGGTTGAGATCACTTATGACATTCACAATAACAGCAAGGTCAAAAAACTACCATGTGGTCTGAGTTTATCTTTTAATTCTCAAGTCACAAGGCATCAAAGTTAAAATTTTAAATTTTAACCAGGCATGGATTTTTTCCCCATTTCACATACAAAGGAAATGATTTCCTAAGGAAAATGTGCAGAGATCATTGACAATATTGTAGTAAACACAAGATTTTTTGTTGCTTCATATAAAGATATACGAGAAGGCCCCAACAGACAGGAAATGTAATGTTGAGCACCAACATATGAGACAGCCCCAACAGATAGGAAATGTAATGTAGAGTACCAACATACAAAATGGCCCCTACAGACAGGAAATAAAATGTAGAGTACTAATATACAAGATGTCCCCTACAGACAGGAAATGTAATGTAGAGCACCAACATATGAGAAAGCACCAACAGACTGGAAATGTAATGTAGAGTACTAACATACAAGATGGCCCCTACAGACAGGAAATGTAATGTAGAGTACCAACATACAAGATGGCCCCTACAGACAGGAAATAAAATGTAGAGTACCAACATACAAGATGGCCCCTACAGACAGGAAATGTAATGTAGAGTACCAACATACAAAATGGCCCCTACAGACAGGAAATGTAATGTAGAGTACCAACATACAAGATGGCCCCTACAGACAGGAAATGTAATGTAGAGTACCAACATACAAAATGGCCCCTACAGACAGGAAATGTAATGTAGAGTACCAACATACAAGATGGCCCCTACAGACAGGAAATAAAATGTAGAGTACCAACATACAAGATGGCCCCTACAGACAGGAAATGTAATGTAGAGTACCAACATACAAGATGGCCCCTACAGACAGGAAATGTAATGTAGAGTACCAACATACAAGATGGCCCCTACAGACAGGAAATGTAATGTATAGTACCAACAGACAAGATGGCCCCTACAGACAGGAAATGTAATGTAGAGTACTAACATACAAGATGGCCCCTACAGACAGGAAATGTAATGTAGAGTACTAGTTTTATGTTGTGTTTGCCTGAATCTATTTCTTGTTCTTTATATGGAGTATCTCTGTTTTAAACCTAATGAATTTATCTTATTTCAAAAAGTGACAAAAAATGTTAACACTTTAACAAACTAATAATATTCTTCTGATCCAATTTGTTCCTACAGATACCACCTATTAAATTTTGAATTCAAAGACAATCCAGTTTGATTGAAAAAAAAGATCATGTGTTTCATTTTTTAAAAAAATTCTTGAAAATAAATCTGTATCCGCCATACATGCTATTGACATAAATGCACTTATGCACCTATCTGTAATATACATCACAATACCTGTATCACTCTCCACGTACACATAACAACATCAAAATAGCTGATCTGCAACTAATGATTTCAAACCATTGAATATTATTCTTTTAATTCTTGGTTGGAACTATTGCCATGGTAGAAATTCTGATTGGTTTTAGAATTTAAAAGACAATGAAAGTGTTCAGTAAGACTACAGAATAATGATCCTCAAATTGAAAATACATCTAGTGCAATAAATACAGATTTTTTCTCTTTTTAATTTGAGAATGTTCATTATTTTAAACACATTTTCCTTTTTTTAATGTTGATTTTAGTAACCTAACCCACAGATGATATACGTGTTTCAGGGTGACAAACCTAACTAGTCATTTCTCTCTGGAAACTGGCTGTTGATTTCGTAGATTGGTTCTTGTCTGTGATTTCCACAGAGAATACCTTTATCTACACCCTGTAGGTCTGTGTGATTGAGAAATATAATTGACTTTTCACACAAGTGTTGCTGTATAAGTTTTAATTGAATCTCGCAGAGTGAGTTGTAGCTACATAATTTACTATTCCTCAATACTTTAAAGGTTCCCGTTATATATACATATACATATATGTAAAGTTAATCTTATTTACTTGTTTACAGTGTTACAGTAATTCTCTCAAGACATAAATCAAAATTCGGGAATATTTTCTGACTCTGTCAAATTGACTAGAACAGATACAATGGGTTCTGTAAACCAACACAAGCTTGTTGTAATTACGTTTCTTAATTGTCTCAAACAGATTTCGTTATTGTTATTTATTCTCTTAGCAAAACAAATGCTGTATGATAGTCTATTCATTTGGATGAATTCTACCAAGGGAGGTAACTGGCCTGTGGGGAACACCTGATCCGATTTGACCAGTACGACTACCTTAACTGTGAGGACTGGGGTCAGTGTATTCTGTAAACAATGTTTTATGGTTACAATAACAAGGAGGATTAAATTCTAATCAGTCATGATTTCCCCAGATCTTGCGTAGAGCTTTCCTCTTCTCCGACTTTACGTCAATATGACTTTTAGTTTGGTTATCTTGATTCAGATGTAGGGACCCTCTATCAAAACAATAAACATAATCTTCACAATTATCAATACTACAGCGATAAGACAGAAATGCCTAGGTCAATGTACTTTTAAACGATGTTGATATACATCTTAAGTGAACGGTATATTCAGCCTCCATTTTCTATTCATTTTTTTCAGTTTCTGTCATATTTTTTCCTTTCATTTCACTCAGTAAAACTTCTCAAATCATCAAACATATACCATTATTTTTGGAAATAAAACGTGTATTGGTTTACATGTTGTTGGCCTGCGCTTGGTCACTTTAATATTCTATATTGAGTCTAGACTGTTGATCATAATACTTGTATACCAATAGATCATAATCAAAAATAATTTATTTTGAGATAGTTTTCATCCAAATCCATCATCTGCCTGCCACCAGTGGAGTGCGGTCTGCTCTATCTATCCTAAGGTGGTCGATGGCTGCAGCCATGATCTGACACTTGTAGTATGATAGCTATCTCTACCACATAACACCTACTGCTAGCATCCTCTTCATTTTCTTGGCTTTGGAAGCTTAAACTTTCTAGTGTGAAATGCTGAATTGTCAAACTAGTTTATGAAAAAGATTTACTTATATTTGTGAACAGAATATAATACCAATGCAAGCTGAAGCAGATATTTATATGTTATATGGTTGTTTATTTTGAATCTTTATGTATGTACAAAGGTATATTCTATTTTTATCACCTATTTTATAGATTAAGCTCAGCCGTCTTTGCAGAAGTTTGCTGTTTATGCTGTTCATTCTTTATACTGTTATAAAAACCTAGCCTTAATCAGCTCTGTTTTCCTTAGTGAAGCCTTCCTGAAGTCTTGAGTTCAGAAACAGCCACTAGGATGTCAATGACTGGTGACTTATACTAAACAGGAATATCTCTCTGATCTTAGACATTCAGATAAAAACCATTTACAATAAAGTGACATTTCCTATTGATGAATTGATTATTGGTGAATGAAACAGGATTAGAACATCACAAAAACTTGGAAATTGCCATATTGCAAAAACTGTTCCATATCATGGGCTTGGCTGGGCTCAAATTCCTGTCTGAAAAGAATTGACCTCGTATTTGATAAAAGTTGATGGCTCAAGACTACTTTTTTACCTTAAAGAACAAATGATGTTTCTTCAGGCAGGTAAGTCGCCACCGGTAGATGTTGTAGCATATGGAAGTTAATTAATTTTCACCTGGTTTTCACCTGTCTGAACATCAATCACTCCTTGACAAGTATGCTTATCATTATAAAAAGCTCAGGAGCCCAAAGGTCAATCCTACCTAGAACCTAATTATATAGCCACTACACGAAATCACAGGATTAAATTCACAGCTTTTTTTTTATTCCTACATCAAGTATAGATATGTTCTTATTAACACTTCTGAACAGCAAATTATTTAGTCATTCCCAATCGTAAACCTACTGGGCTAAGATGGATGGTTTAATTGAAGGTTGTCAAGTTCAAAAACGCAAAAAAGTATCCGATTAAAAAAAAAAACAGTTGATTGAAATTGATTTTAATGGAAATCAAAAATACTCAATGGACAGATAAATTTACCTTCAACTTTGACACCGCAAGTCCGCAAGTTTGTGATTTTATTTTGACAAAGGAGAAAGATGAATAATGTAGAGCTAGATAGGGCGGAGATTTAAAACACTAGAGAAGATGAGAGATAAAATTTCAGAGTGGCTGGTAATACATCATCATTAATACATGATTTTCAATCATTTCCTGTCCTTGACCTTTCAGTTCTAGTAGCAAACTTCAAGGTTATCAAGGTGAGATTTAATGACAAATGATGGAGTTACCAACCATTGTTATTCATGGTCTTGACTATATGGTCAACAATGGTTTATGTTCACAATGTACAAAACAATCCAATTAACACTAATGGCGGAGAATCAAGAGAGTTATAAGCTCATAATATTTGGGGAGAGTAATTCCTAAGATGATAAACAGGCTAGCGCTAGATCTGGGCAGTATAAATTTAGATCCTTGATGTCAGTGAAGGTTTGTCATTGCCAGGAACAGCGCCATTTGTCTCTGTCCAGACACTTGCAGACATAATGTCATTACGATAAGTGATTTACCTCCCTCCAATCTCCAGTCTTTTTCCTCAGCTTTGTCAGACTTTACAGGCTTATGTTGTCAGGTTGGATAATACCGGTCAGTCCGATTTGGACAACATCATCCCTTTATTTATCAGTAGACTGGCCAGAACCCAGGCTGATAAATAAACTTAAGTATGTTCAGTCTGGAGGTATTCCAAACTGGATACCTCCGATTCAAACAAACACACACCAATCCTACACTGGAGTCAGCCCAAAACTATGATTTTTAATTGATGCTGTCATTTCACAAACTCGACATCTTTTCAGCTGACATGAGAATTTAAATTCATCACGTAAGTAAAAAAATAAAAAGTTTACCTGTCCATTGCCGAAGCGACCTTGAACTTCAACCTTGGTAATGACCGTGAGCTGGTCGAGGTCAATTTGGAGGTATTCGTAGGAATCCATAGTAATTTGTTCTTTTGGACACCATGCTCCACCACTGATCTCTTGACGGATTCTAAAAAGACAAAAAACACAACACTCTTTACTTAAGTTACAATTTAAAAGATAGGCAAGCAGAAAAATTACGAAAAGATGAAAACACAAGGTTGTGTATGATACAATGATATATGTAAGGCTGATTTAATCCTAAACCTTCATGTTACAGGTTTCTAAATCTATTTATAAACTTGAAACCTGTCTATAGATCTTAACAGCCATACTATTGGCTGGTTCAATTCTAAATCTTTGTGTTAGGGGTTTGAAAATCTATTTATAAACTTGAAACCTGTTTATAGATCTTAACAGCCATACTATTGGCTGGTTCAATCCTAAATCTTTGTGTTAGAGGTTTGAAAATCTATTTATAAACTTGAAACCTGTCTATAGATCTTAACAGCCATACTATTGGCTGGTTCAATCCTAAATCTTTGTGTTAGAGGTTTCAGAATCTATTTATAAACTTGAAACCTGTCTATAGATCTTAACAGCCATGTCTCCTTCACTTTCTATCGGACATTATTATATTAGGAACAATATCAATATTGATCTTCATCTTCCTTTTGCTCTACATTTTTTCCACTTATAACGTTATTTTTAAATTGCACCTCATTTATGATGACTCTGCCCCCGATTTTATCTATATCAGTTGTGGAGAGTGCATGAAACCTGTGTATGTACTATTTATCTTCTGCTTACTGGTTCTGAGAAATTCTCTGATTGAAATGCCAGATATGATACCAATATTTTTACAAACTGTAATAGATGTCTGATTCATTTACTAAACACAAACACTCAAGAACTATTTCTATCTGTGAGCTTTTCCTCATGTTCTATATCAATATAGCAATATGTATCAGATCATTTGATTGGTCGATTCAAGGAACTCGCAATCTCATTGGTCAAAAAGCAGCATGTGTAAAACTCAGCACCTCAGGAATGCCTTAATGATATAGAACATACAACTAAATCATTCAATAAAATTTTATTCTACAGACATAAGAAATTTAATATGATAACACTTTGTTATTCAAACCGTTTCTTCACCAAAGTTAACTCAATGCTGCCGTTATACACAAAGATGATGGCAGAGTGTCAGTAAGTGTCAATACTATAAGCTAGGCTTTCTTAGCAAGCAAGCCAGAACATGACAGGGCCACCCAATCCCATCTCTACTTCAGCTAGGAAAAAAAATCTCTCCATGTCAACCAGGTCTGTGCCAATCAATATTCCTCCATTTAAAGTCACCAGGCAGGAAAAAATGGTGACAGGAGGCTGTAGCAAGATACAGGTTACATACTTCTGATGGAAAATTTGTTAAAAACAAATTGGCAAATTTTCCACTTGGGCGTCTGCACAATGTTAACTGATTATCCTGCTAGAATTAAGGCCATGTGTGGTTACATCTATTACAGTAGTATAGCTTTCATTTCTGTTTAGTTTGGATGATATTGTCTTTTCTCCTCTGCTGAAATATCTTATTTAGAAGTTAAGTGTAGTGTACGTCTAATGGTATAAAAAGTAGGAGACAAAGACGAGGTATACTGTCTGAAGCAGGAGGGACACTGAGAATACACAGAGAAAGACAGGCCTTTATACTCCCATTATTAACACCTGTTGCTGTGCTAAACAACTATCTGTCTTTACCTTCAAACACCCACGCAGTCAGTCCAATGTTTCCTGTACCCTGATTTTTTGTGGGAGTCTGAAGTTTAAAAATATGGCCTTGAAAAATTTCTTGGAAGTTTTGCCAAAACAACTTAAGTTGACATTCAGTGCCTTGAAGTATATAGGCCCTTCATGATAACTCAGAATGGAACATTTTTTTTTCTTGCACTTTGCATTTATAAATACAGATAACTTTATCTATATTCCAAGTTAGTTCATTTTTCAAGTCCATCATTCAGGAAATCGAAAACGGGGAACATTTTGTTCACTGAGTGTATCTTTTCATCATGTACAAGTTTAGGTTTTGCATGAAAATTATAAGAGCCTGTAGCTTGTTTTATATTTCTAAACACATATGTTCATATATTCTACCAGTTACCATGACAACTGTTACAACAATTTATCATTAATATGAAACAAGACACTGATGTCACAAAGTACATCTTCTTGTTACATTGAAGGAACAGAATGGAATGTCAATTTGTATCGTGTGATCTGTCGACATCATCTGGTGATGGTTTATTTAGGTACATAGAAATACAGTAGTGATACTGTTGTGTTCTAACTTGGTTATGTAATGGTGTTACTTTAGTCACTATAAAACAAGTCATATGTACCCTAACATTGGGGTTAAAATTATTACTTAATTATAGATAGGGGTGGGGGTGGGGCATGGTAAGACACAAGCATGTGTATCTTAACATTGGGCTAAGTGGTATCTCTTAGTTATAGCTAGGGGTGGGGGTGGGTCCCAGTAAAACACAGACTTTTCACTAATGATAGGAAGTTGATTTTTAGTTATCAAAGTTATGTGACCTTATAATAATAATTCACCAATAATGTGTCTAAACTTTCACTCTAAAAGACTAGCACTATCTTTAGAGGTCAGAACCAGTACCAGAGGCTCTGCAGACTCCCTATACAGCCATCACGATGTTTTGGAACATTTCCAGTCAGGGTGGAATTGTAATGCCAATTAATTAATGGTACCCATTTTTTTATCACTCAAGAATGGCTTTACTAGTGTGAAAGGTTTGAGATAAAAACCTATATATATAATTTATCTTTTGCTTAACTTATCGCAACCTTTCTGAGTGACATTTACGCAAAAGAAATGGCATTTTAGGTAATAGCACCTCAAGAAAAAAAAGCTGCAAATTTTGGTTTTTCAGCTGATAAAGTAAACCTTCCACACTGTAGGAACTAATTCTCTTGTAAAATGATTTCAGAGTTTTGTTTATTCCTAAAACATTTTTGCAAATCAAGGATTTTTTTTTTGACAAAAATCTACAGCTGCCAAAAACATGTGAATATCTCAAGATCCAGTCTGTTTAGATGTAAGATATATATTCAGATGCTTACAATCTCAGAAACAACAAATTGTAGGGAACTAGATGCCTCAGGTCACTCTGAAACCTTGCAAACTAAAACTGATAGGTGCTCACAAATGTTGATTTTTAAAGGAAAGAAAGCAGTCAGAGATATCAGATAAAATCTCTGAGAAAAAAAAAAAAAAAAAATTGGTGAAGTACTGCAGCCATTGAAGGGTTGGCAAAGGAAAGAACTGTTGGCTGATATGGATGTGAGGGAAGTCACCAACAGTGATACTCAAGTACATAATGATAATGATGAAGATAAAGGAAGGGGATAATGACAATGAGAGAGGAGAGATAATCAAGGTGGCACTGGTTTTTTATAAGAAATTTCAGGAGATCTATAAAGTACTATTAAAATTTCACATTAATGTAGCAGATTCAGTTCATTCTTATCTTTCTCTCACATATCTATAATGTTGATGATTACCTAAAATACACACGACATTTCAATACTACACAGCCAATCATCTAAGTCAAATAGATTTAACATTTGCAATCTAATTCACTGTGACAAGAAGGAGAGTTTCGACTTGATGTAATCATTTTCAGCTCGTACCAAGTATAATTTAATAATTCTCCAATTCTAAAAAAGTCGAATAGAAAATTGAGTTTTTCATTTAATTGTAATCTTCAGGTCTGTACACTGTTGCCATGAATTCTGAAAATTACGAAATGTTTATGACCTGGCAATGACATCATTAAGACCAATGAAGAAATGTAAAACCTCGGTCATGCGAGGCGCCCACCGTAATGGTCGTCTGCCTGTCTGAAACCAAACCTCACACGCCACAACTGATCCAGTTTGTAAGAGCCTAAAACGAGCTTTCATCTCATCATTGTCTTCAGGAACGTATCACAACTATTGCAGTAAACTCAATTTCAAATTTCATTACTGCCGTCGTTCAATTTCGTTCCTCAGAGAGAGCATGGTCGATATCAGGTTTTGTTTCAATTTTCTTGCTTAATGACTCTGCCTATGAGTCTATTGATACTTTTCATCACATCTGAAGAGCTGCACAAAAGGGAGATTATTCTGTTCAAATGGAGATTATCACCTCAAAATGTTACAAATAGGCTGAAATTGTGCCTGAAAGTTTCATGCAAAAAGAGTAATTTATAAGACAAGGGAGATAACCTTTTGAAAAGGCATAGAAATAAATTAAGGGAAGATTCAGTTGCAATGAAAGATTCACATGAGAATTAAGCTGGACTGAAATCAAAATAGGAAGGTTGTACTTAGTGCTTATAATGATTATCTATTGTTTACCAAGATGTGTGTGCTGAACCTAGAATTAGACACAATTTCCCCTTTGTATTAGATACCCCTCAAATTCCATAGCCTTGTATCATCATGCACTCTGCATAAACAACCTGAGGCAGGCAAAGTTGATTGAGCTTCACCCACAGAAATCAGGAAAAAATGTCTCAAAAACTGGATAGAATATTTCATATTCTACTACCTCTTTCTGTATCAATGGCAAAATGTTATAAAAATTATCACCTAAATGTCAAAAACATCTCCGATGAAGATCTGTAGTTTATCAACACTTCCCTGACAAAGCTTGATGCTAACAAAGCTCTTGGTAACAGTCTGTAGTCTTATCTAAGGAGTACATGCATACAGAAATTGGCTGCACCACAACTTAACCGTAAATGTGAAATGTTGAATTTTTATAGACAGCACAGAAACTGACAGAACGGCACGATCTTCTAGTGCCTGTTTTTTTGGAGTCCTTCGTTACTGATAATATTGTTTCTGGTTGTGTCGTCTGACTTTCCCAGACAAGAACCACTCAAGACTGATGTTTGGAGAGAGCACACAGCAATGGAGGACCTTTGAAAAAGTTTGCATAACCTGTCTATGACAACTCTTCACTAACTCATATTTTACCTATCAATCAAAATAAATCAATAAATTTATCACATTTTCATTCCATAACCAAAGTCTGTGACACCTCAGAACATTGAGAATCAT